ACAGATAATTTAGGTTATACTCTTATATTGCTACCGTCAACTAAGGCATCTTTACCATAATTTTGAAGGAAAAAGTTAATAAATGGAAAAATAAAACACTTATGATTAAGCTATTATTTTTAATCGATGAATATAGTACTTCTCCGTTGCTTTATAAATGCACTGTTTCCCATGGCTGCAAAACCACTAAAGTAGCACCAAAAACATGACACAGGTAAAGAAGCCACAAAAATGGCTACTTTACCTATACAGTATTTCTCGATAAAATGAAGCCTTTATAACTGAAATTGGTAAAGATACCCTTTCGCTTTACTTTCTCTGTTTAGACATATGGGTATTTTAATTAAAAAAGCTATATACGGGCAATAAATGCTGGTAGGTAAAGATGGCATGGACTCCATTGAAATTCTCATACAAATGTAATTAATTATCAGGGCTGCCACCAGTTTAAAAATGATGTTAAAATGTACGCTATAAAACATTGATTAAATGCAAGTCAGACACTCGCATGAAGAGTTATATAATGTATATCAGGCACTAGTTGTTTCACATTTATCATACTTATACTACCATAGTTTCAACTAAATTGTATTGATAATTATACTTAATGAAACTTATTATTCCAATTTATATTTAAATTTGACATCAAAATATAAAATTCCACGCCGGTTTTTATAGGGATTTGGTAAAATTTGTACTATATCATTTTCAAATACAATACTTGTATCGGGTACTGTGGGCCAGTAAAACCCGCCATTTTTATATCTCATGAATTTCGCGAAAACACCTTCACGCTCGGATATTTTCGTAATCAGGCCACAGTAATACTTATTTGTATTTTTGGTACTTTCAAACTTTACTAAGATGTATTGTCCAATATATAAACTTTTGGCTATAAATGCCTTCTCATTTTGTTCATTAATTGTATCTTTTTCTGACATAGTCTCTTCTAGTCTTCGTCGTTTTATCTTCAGTCCTTTTTTATCATCGTTTTCTATTATCAGGCTCTTTATCTGTTGTTTTCTTTCATGCTTCTCTGTTTTATGCTCTTTTGTTCCTAAATCTTTTATTTGTTCCACTGTTTCCTGGTCTTTCCATAAGTCTCTCTCCATTTTATATTCATTTACCATCTTTTGTTTTATCTCCTGTCCCTTCCTTTCATAGCTTTCTGATCTCAAGCTTTCCGTCTCATGTCCTTTTGTTTCCAATTCATTCATGTGTTCCTCTTTTCCCTGTTCTTTACATGCGTCTCTCTCCATTTCATATTCATGTACCATCTGTTTTTCCATCTCCTGTCCTTTCCTTTCATCGCTTTCTATTCTTAAGCTTTCTTTCTCATGTCCATTTGTTTCCAATTCCTTCGTTTGTTCCTCTATGTTCCGTACTTCCCATTCGACTTTATCCATGTCATATAAATTTACCATCTCTTTTACTTGCCTTTTATCACTTTCTATTCTCAAGTTTTTTATCTCATATCCTTTTTTTTCCAATTCCTTAATTTGATCCTCTATTTCCTGTTTTAACCATTCTTCTTTCCCCTTGTCATATTCTGTTCTCAAGCTTTCTGTTTCATGCCCTTTCGTTTCCAATTCGGTCATTTGTTCATCTTTTTCCTTTTCCTCCATTTTCTGATCTTCTGTCAGTTGTCTCAATAAGTAGTCCTGCATGTCTTCAATTGAATCGTAGTCCGAAGAATCTGCATACTGCACAGAGCAGTCAGAGTCTGAATCCGAAGAATTATCGTGGAGTTTTTTGGTTCTTATACCCTTCCTTTTTACATCTTTTTTCAAAATTGTCTTTAGAACAGATGGCCAAGCGTTTTGTAAATTTCTTTTTATCGTAATACCAGATGGTCCAGCTTTAGCTTCTTTTATTTTTTTCGTTGGTGTTTTTTTATTCTTGTCTGTTTTTGGCGGTATTCTAATGTCTGAGAGAATAGTTATTTTCGACCTCTTTTTTTCTGGTATGTCGTTTTGCACTACTTCTTCACCACTGTTTGCAATAAAATTTCTTTCGCTTGTTATTTCACTAGTTTTACTCTTTGTGTTTTTCTTGGTTACGTTTTTATTTATGTCCCAGCTTGTGACAGATTTTCCAGCTGCGACATTCATTTTTTTATTTGTATTTCGCCTTATTGGGTTTGGATTCCGATTCTCTTTTAGATAGTCAAGTAAAGATTTATCTACGTCATAAGTGATCTCTTCACAGTATTCCGGAATTTTTGAATATACTTTCTGTGGATTATATGGAAATATGCCCGTTGCTCTAAATCCACTGATCAAGTTATCGGCTTTATTTAAGTTCACTTCTTCAATTAATTGTTTTAAAAGTATAGGAAAGTGGATTTTATTGAGAGACGTCTGCTTTGGGTTTTCTATCTTATATTTCATAAGAATTTTCCTCCACGTTCGTTTAAGTGGAGCAAAAAATGCAACATCCAGAGGCTGGGTTAAATGCGTTGAATTTGGTGGTAGTAACACGAACCTAATATTGTGACGCTCGCAAAGTTCTACCACATCTACGTTAATATGGCTTGAAAGGTTGTCTCCTATAACCAGCTTCGGTCCTTCCAGACGTTGAGCCCATGGTATTACTATTGTAGTGAACCAATCCATGAACATGCCAGAATCGAACCAGCCACTTTTAGTTCGATTATAACGCGCCCCTTCTGGACCTCCATCACACCATTGTGTCCACATATTTTCAGATTTATAGACGACGTACGGAGCTAAAAGATCACCACTGGCTGTTCCGGAAAACATTATAGAAATACAACCTTTAGAGTAGTTTACTGTTCTTTCCGGATACTTGATTCCCCGGCGAAAAATGCATTTGACTGCCCCCGGGTCATCGCTGACATTTGTTTCGTCGTAATTGAGTATATGGGTAGCCGGCAAATCTTCAACACAGCTCTTTAAATTTTTCAAAGTAGATCTTAAAATCTTGAAGGGATTTTTCGGCTCTTGCTTTTTTAATGTTTTGTGTAGATCGCACGGTAAGCGTATCGTGGTGTCTTATCAAAAAGTTTTTCACCCACCAATCACCTGGAGGATTGTCATTAAAAATGTACGCTTTATTATTTTTTTTAAGGTAATCAAATACAATCATACGGAAATCCAACTGTGTCAATGGACATCCAAATTCAGATGCAACAATAAGCACTTTTACAAATTGGAGCTCTTCTTCCTCTGTAAATCGGTACCGTGGACCAGGTTTGTTAGTGTGTAAGTTTTTTGCCCTTTTTTCTATGGTACGACGTGGTATTCCAAATTGTTTTTCTGCGTCATAAGATGACACATTTTTGTTACGGACCATTTCAACTGCAAGAGTGAGCATTTCTTCAGAATAGTTTTTGCTCCTATTTTCCTTCGGTTCCGTTTTTTAGGTTTAGGGCGAGTCATATTTTAATTTATCTGAAATAAACTGAAGTAAACTCGGTAAGTACCAACACCAAAAGCATTTTTTTTATGTCACAAGGCAAGCAGTAGCGGCGGTTATTTGGTGGCTCCAGGTCTTCAACTATATCCATGCAACAAATTACGTCGACCCATTGCACTGTTGCAATGCGATTAAAGGACAAACAAACAAACAAGCACACTTTCGCATTTATAATATTAGCATGATTTATTTATTTATTTAAACTTTTATGCACAAAAAATAAAATCGTACATATGACGGAATCTCCCAGTCAACCATTAGGCTAAGCAGAGATAAAAACATGATGATGATGATGGATCTATTCCGCCTGCCATATCAGATATAGGTTCCCATCAAGAATCGAACCCACGGTCTCTGAAATAGTAGATAGTGGCTTAACCACTGCGCCACAAAGGCGGTTTAAAGTGTTAGTACCTACAATATTATTATTATTATTTTTGGGGTATTTATGGAGTATTCTCATCTGGTTATGATAAATAAATGGAAATGATAAATATACACACATATTATTATTATTAGAATAAGTGTATTAATATTGTTATGTAAGTTGTAATTAGCTTGTAAGTAAGCCCTCCTAAAAGTAGATAAATAAAACATTTACGTATAGAAACGCGTAAAGTATAGTGACAACCCTAGGTACAGGTAAAGACGCCACTATACAAACTGTGGCAACTTTACCTCGCCTCAACTATCATTACCTATGCAAATTTCTCTTAAAATTATTAAGAAATTACCACTATAACAGCTGCCACGTCTTCTTAGGAAGGTTATATATAATATATATCAATTCTACTTACCTCAGCCAAGCAAATTCACAAGCACAATTAAAATTTCGACCAGAAATAGCTGCGACAAATGTCCCGCGATTATCAACAAACGTTAATAACTGGTCATTGGACAGTGCTGCCAGTATAAAAAAAAATATGCGTGACCATAGGCTCATTACGAAACTACTAATGTGTCTATGAAATATCTACCAATAGTAGTTTCTGATAAAAATGATTTTTCTTATTACTTGTCAGTGGTAGGTAAAGATGACAAGGGAAGGTAAAGATGCCTTAGTTGACGGTATTGGATAAAGATTACACTTATATAGTAAAAATTGTTGAGATAGTATCTAAGTAGTCTTTATAATAACGTTATTATAATAATTGAAAGTAAATTTTTAAATCTTAGAGTGAGTAAACATAAATCAGGTAAACAACCTACAAACAAATAATACTTTTTAAATAATGATCGACTAGTTTTAAAGTAATTTATTCTAATAGGCTATTCGGCATCCGAAATGAACTAGATATTAAATAATATTAAATTTCAACATACAAAATATTGCGTTAGAATGGGTTTATCCCCCCCCCCCTCCCCTCCTCCAGATAAGGGCATGTTTTAGATATTTTTAACGCCCCATCCCCCTCGGGACCCTTACGTAATTAATGAATAGCCGCTAGTAAAGTAAAACACTGGCTGTCTACTGTACTGTCTACTGGCTTTATATAACGCGTATTTTTATCGTTTATCTCCTGTTCTTAAAATTAAATTAAATTAAACATTTAGTTAATCACCAAATCTTTTGTGTTAACTTCTAGCACGTCGACCAAGTTGACATTAATATTAGTGAAGGTCTTCTTGTAGAGCGCCTGTCGGAACGACATCGTCTGCCAGCCTGGACGTGCAGTGCAGAGTTTAGTGCTACGTTCACCTTTTAGCCATTCTTTTATCTGGAAGTCAAATAAATTTTAAAATTATAATTTTAAAAATTATGAGATAAATAGCCACGTTTAAAAAGAAGTCACTTTATTTAGTAAATTTATTTTTTGGATGTTACTACGTACTTCCTCCTTTATTGTAAAAAAAAATATGTTATTTAAAAAATAAGGCGGTTTACAGAATAAATAAGTAGTAGGTACAAGAAATTTTACGTTTATTTTATTTTCCTGAACAACCTAATTATTAAGTGGCGAAGCTTGCGAAGTCACTTATTGATTTCACGATGTCTGTCCGTCTGTCCGTCTGTCCGTCTGTCCCACGATTATCTCGAGAACGGTTTTGAATTTTCAAATTCTGTTTTCAGCAATCGATTACTGATCACCCAGGCATCTGAACCTCCTATTTTGAAACTGATTGCTCAACGGCAACCGTTAGAAACCGCTACAAAGCTGATTGCTTCGCCACTTTGCTATGCTGTTAGCTTGCTAGGTTTATTTTTATCAGCAGTAGAGAAAAATGAATGAGATTTTATATATATAATTTTCAATCAAATAAATGTTGAACCTGATTTTTGAATTTGCTTTGTACTGAATAACAACTTTATTTTTATCAGAGGCGCCTTGTCACTATACTTGCAGCACTTCATTAGCACTTAATTCCTTGTTATTATTTGTCGTATATCTAATAACTTCATTGCGTTGCTAGCGATAAGTTATGCCAGCAACGCAAATTTCAATCGTTCGTTGCGGTGAAAATTTTAGAGCACCTAATTTTTAAACTTGGCACCTAATTAGCACCTAATTTTGGCATTTTCCAAATGTAAATTTCTGACTTTGCGTTACTGGCGATACACAACTAAATATATAATATAAGGCCTGTGTTTATGCCTACGTGTAACCATCTAGTATAGATGTAGAACTCTACAAAACGGCTCAATAGCGTGGCTAAGAATAGCTGCGGCGCTACGGTGCGCGAGTTCGAATCCCGCTTGAAACAAGCATATTTGTATAGCCCCATTATATTTGTAATTGCATACGAATAACTGTTCTCAGTCTGGATGTTTGTCTATGTGTATTTTATTTAGGAAACACATTGTAACAAACGAATAAAGAAATATTATAACGAACCTGCCTCTGAACATCCTTCACTTTCCTATCATGCATTTTTGGTGCACTGTTCATTTTAAAAACGATGTAATTTCGGACAGCAGACCAGATTTTCCATAGCAGAGACATGGGTAGCAGTACGGTAATTACAATAACCCAGCGGTACTCAACCACGATGTACTCCGCCAGGGTTTCAGTTTGCATTCCAGACATCTTGTTCCTGAAATCCCACAAAATTTGATACTCGTAATCTTTATTTCAAGGTAAGAAAACACTACCAAAAATAGTAAATTCTTTGTATTTGACTTAGAGTATTAAACTAACAATGTTAGTTGAATACTCTAAGGTATTTGACGATGATGATACACATACAGATGAAAAAAAATTACAGATTTAAAGGTTAATAAAACAGAAAATATTGCAGAGGGCAAACTTTCTAAAGTGGTATCCCATCTATTACCGCCTATAAAAATCAACTGCTGCACATAGGCCTCCCCCATAGATTGCTTCATAGGGGGGATTTTCCCATATTTGCCATGCTTGGCAAGCAGGTTGGCTATCGTAGTTTTTTTAACCGACTTACAAAAGGAGGTGGTACTCAATTCGTCTGTATGCTTTTATATGTGTGCCTCATGACTTTTTTCAAGGTGAACCAATTTTGATGATTCTTTTTTTATTTGAAAGCTGGTGTTTCTCATGTGGTCCCATATAATTTTTTACATTTTTATTTATTTGATCAAGGTCTGACCTGTGATCAGTAGTTTTTGAGTCATCCTTAATAATTTATATTGAAGTCGGTTGTACAATTTTTTTTAATATTACCACTTGTTATTATCTGAAGTTGTTCTCAGGAAAACACTGTTTCACACTGCAGCTATATATAGTTGCAGCATTAATGGGTCGGCTCTACCGGTGAATGACCACGCTCTTACAGAATACCAGCGTAATAGCGGCTGAGTACTGCTGTTTCGTATGGTGAGTGTAGAGAACCAGAGACCATTTTTTTTTACTGGTAATGAGGCATTCACCTTAAACCTTGAGGTGACAACTCATCTACATTCTGAAGTCGCTGCTAAGACAAAGATGTGAAATTATTTTATGTTTTTTAGTTCTTAGAAGTCTAGTTTTACTTTTGCGTATGTGCGATGAAATCCAATAACCAAATTATAATAACGACTGAATCCATTCATTCACACTAGTATGCTACATGTTAATAGGAATTATCTAGGCTCTAGATAGGAATAATCTAGTAGACGGCGGCGTAAGAATTTTTTAAACCTATTCGAGGCGACTATGGAGAATTCCAGAAAAATCTTATGGCTTCAATAGATGGCAGTATAACTATCTCGCTTACGCTCATGCTTGTGAAATACCCAGACTGGCGTTTTCCTTATTCCATTCACCTTTCTTTTCCCGTTAACAGATAATATGACAAATTTTTTTGCATTGTTTGTTCCCTGTTTAATAATCTTAAAAATATCATCAAATTTCAGATATTAGAATGACAATAACAACAAATAACTCTTATAATAACAATTGCGAGTCGTGATGCAAACTGGCATATTCTTAATGTTGACCTTTCGGTCTCACTCTCAGTAATTTAAATTGAAAATTTTAAAAACCGTCGAAACAAAAAGAGCTGATGATCTTCAAACGGCTAAAAAAGATTTTCTTAAATCATAGCTAAGAACACCCAATTAAGTCACCGTTTAAACAAAAAAGAAACTAAATCTAAATCGGTTAATTCGTTTGAGAGCTACGACGCCACAGACAGACACACAGATACACACGTTAAACATATAACACCCCTCTTTTTCGCCAGGGGTTAAGAAATGTACTCTGTGCATTTAGACAGAGAGTAATAGTATTCTCTGGTGTTGATAATTATTATTTTTAAAGACACGACCCCTTTAAAATTAAGATTTATTAAAAATTTTATATCCAAACTCTGATGTGAAAAACAGTAAACAATAACATACCTTTGACGTTGACACTAAAACGAAGATGCCGGCAAACTGACCGTCTACCGTCAAGGCTAATCTAATCGATTAGGTAGCCTTGAGAGGAATGATACTGTGTCTAAATATAATAATTTGAGTCTTATGCCCCAAAAAATAAAGGCATTTTCTTTAATAACATAACATAAACAGACGAATTTGATTAAATTACATTACACAGCTCAGAATGATCTTTATCATATTACGAAACGAATTAATACTAGACAATGTGTTAACAAAAACCTATAATCACCAAAATCGTCGCTTATCTTTCGCTAATCACTACATTATCAAAACCCTGTGTAGCAGGTTATTTGCTATATGACCTTTAAATAATAGATATTACGTGTGATTACGCTGATCTTCAATTTTCTTGGGGATTTGAAGGAAATGAAGCTCCAATAAAATACACTACATTTATTAACTCGTTAACTAGGTACAATTAAATTAACACTAAACTAGCGTAATATAACGTTCAGCCCGTCCGTGATGTATATCATTGCCGGACGGGTGGAATTTCACACATAATAAGCTTCCTCCTTCCCTCCCCCTCAGTATTCGGAATTTTCAGTTATTGAGGCACTTCTGTTATGAACAACACGGCGAACAATGCTCTTTGAAGTGTAGACATTTTTTATAGGAGAGGGAGCAGACAGGCATGCGGCTCACCTAAAGCTTCCTCTACACGTCGTGAGTTGTATCAACAGATGTCATCTCCGGATGCGTCCGCCGACGTGAAGATGGGGGAATTTGCTCGTCTGTGGTACGTATTTAACGTCGGCAGATGCGTCTGCCCCTAATTCGTTTGTTGTCGGTTTTTGTGGCACGCAACAAAGGGTTTCAGCGCGAGTGCACGGCGTCTGTCCACAGGTCTAGCGACGCATCTGTGTTATCGGAGTTGCGAGTTCCATTTCTCTTAAATAACTCTACAGCGATACACACTCAAGTAATAGTTAAAAGTACAAAATAAATAAATAGCTGCGGTAGCTACGGTCTCTATACCCACTTTTTAAATGTTACATGCATGCGAGCTGCGTCTGTCGAGAATTAACATAGACTGAACGAGCTACAGTTGTGTGGACGGCTCGTGCTGATTTTTCTACTGATGCATCTGTCAACGTGTAGTGGAGACACGGGAAGACAAGGGAATTACATTACAGGTGCGTTGACGGTCTTTTAAAAAGGAGTAATCCCGTTTCTTGAAGATCCGAATGAAGATGGGAGCGGTATTCCCTGTGAGGAACTTGCGCCTTGTAAAGTTGGAAACGGTTTGCCGGCATGAACATTACCTCTCTCTATCCACTTACCATCAGGTGGACTGTGTGCTCGTTTGTTACCCTTATCCTATTATAAAATTAGCCTTCTCTTCCAAGTGCTACGAATCTGCACATCATTCGATATGTCGACGCCGAGGATTCCGTTACTAGATGAGGCAACAAGAGAAGTGCCCTGAAATTGAGGAGATGTAACAAAGGGCTTCTTTTTAGCGGTAAATGCGCGATCTTGTGTCTTCTGAGGGTTGATCTGGACTAGATTTAGTCGCCCCCTGTTCAACAAAGACTCGACTTCGTAGAGAAATATTAGTGTTCAACAAAGACTCGACTTCATAGAGAAATATTGGCATGACCGGTGTATAAAGCATCACCACTGCTTTCAGTGGTTTCGCTTCGAATGTTACTGGTTTGCAAAATATCATTGATATACAGAAGAAACAGCGTTGTGGTGCTGGTGTTCCACAAGGTTGCGTGCTAACCTTAGCACGCAACCTTGTGGAACACCAGCATTGATATGCTTATAATCAGAGCATACACCGTCTACTACGATCTTGATGCTCCGTCTCCGATCTACAAGAAAACTGGTGATCCAATTGCACAATCTCTCGGGAAGCCCATAAGAAGGAATCTTCGAAAGAAGCGCTTTGTGCCAAACCCGATCGAAGATCTCCGCAATGTCCAAAATAACGGCCAGTGCTCTTGGACTCTACTGATTCAGCCCATGTACGAGTCAGGTAAGCCAGGAAGAAGATCTCCAGCTGAGCAACCCCGACGGAAACCGTACTGACGGTCACTAATCAACTAGTAATCCTCAAGGTAGCTCATGAGCTAGCAGTTTATAACGGTTTCCAATATTTTGGAGAGCAAAGAGATTATGACGATAGGCCTGTAGTTTGACAGGTTTGAGTGGTCGCCTTTTCTGCCGACTTCCAAAAAGGAGACGGTACTCAATTCGACTGTATGTTTTTTTTATGTGTGTTACCTCATAACTTTTTACTGGGTGAACCGATTTGGATGATTCTTTTTTTATTTGAAAGCTGGTACTTCTTGTGTGGTCCCATATAATTTGATCAAGGTCAGACCAATAGTTATTGAGTTATTCGTAATAACTCATATTGAAGTCGGCTGTACAAAATTTTTAATTTTTAATTATTTAAGGATCTGATGCAACTACACTAGCTACGCTAGACTACGCCTAGGGAGTAGGAGTATCGAAAAAGACGTGTTAAAACCAGTGCCAACTCCGGAGTACGTCTTCAGCACAATAGGACGGACTCCATCAGGCCCACTCGACTTGTTTATGTCCAGAGAGTGGAATGCTTTGCGCACCGAGCGCTGTGTAAACAGCACAACCAACATGGAACACTCACACCGCGGGTTGGTCGGCGGTGTTTTCCCCCGTCATCGAGAGTCGAGTTGGAAGCAAATAGAGGGCCTAACAGATCGGCTTTCACCTTTGCGGCATGGGCCAGTAAGTCGTTCTCCCTGTGCAAAGATGGTTAATAAAAGTTCCCTTGGACAGGCTTGGCGAAAGACCAGAATAACCGAGACTGATGGGCACTACAGTAATGCAATAAAAAGTTCCATTCTCTGAAGTACCACATAAGCGACAGAATCAGCAACAACGTTGAGATCATCTGGCTAGAAGCAAACCCGCCCTTAAGGGTATGATGTTAAAAAAAGACCGCATCCCGTCCTGTGACCAGTAGCGCCAATAAACACGGCGGCAACACAACCGCGATGAGAGCGCGTGAGTGGCACCGTAGGTACTCCGGATCAAACAATGGTCCGAAGAGCCAAGAGGGGCATCGACGGAGACCTGATATCCGTCCGGATGAAAAGTAAGCAGAAGGCAGTGGCGTAACTACGCAAGGGCTTGGTGGGGCAGTGCCCCGGGGCCCCCAAGCTAAAGGGGCCCCTCGGCCTCCAAGAACGACATTCGAAAAATTATGTACTATCCTAGTTGTATAAAGACTTTTCGAGTTTTAACTTTTTGGCCCCTGACCGCGGACGGCTCGAACTGAAATCATAAAAATTACTTCCGCTTCCAGAAAATAAATATAACATTGTTAAAGGATGCAAAACCTCTTCGTCTTGTTTATTGATTTCGTCGGTCGTCGACGATTCGAGCCGCTCTGCGCTGGATGCGGTCATGTGGAAGGAGCTGGTATTAGGAAGCCCCGGCCCAGGGATGAGAACAGTATTCCATGTTAGACCGAACCTGCCCCTTGTAAAACTACAAGCTGTGTGCCGGCATAAAATACTGTCCCGCTCTGCTGAGCACGCCAAGCTTTTTAGAGACCAATTCAGCCTTCCCTTCCAAGTGACCATGAAACTGCACGTTATTCGATATGTCAACGCCGAAGATTCCGATACTAGCTAAAGTAAGGGGAGTGCCCTGAAATTGAGGAGTTACGTCAAAGGGGTTTTTTTTAGTGGTAAACGCGCAAACTTGTGTTTTCTGGGCATTGAACTTAATTAGATTAAGTTACCCCAATCCGAGACCATATCCGGCAAATCTCGACTTCAAACACAAGTTTGTTCCGGTACTTGGCGACGTTATCCTGAGAAATATAGGCACAGCCGGTGTATAAAGAATCACCAGAAACAGCGTAGGTGATCCAATTACACAAATTCTCGGGAACCCCATAGGAAGGGAGCTTCGAAAGAAGCGCTTTATGCCAAACCCGATCGAAGGCCTTCGCTATGTTTAAACTAATGGCCAGGTTCTTCCTCTCTGCCTCCGCCAATTTATAAGTCAGGTAAGCTAGAAGATCACCAGCAGCTGTAATAGAAGTAAGCAGCAGTAAATAGAAGGTTAAAGTTAAAGTTACAGCCTATATACGTCCCACTGCTGGCACAGGTCTCCCCTCATTTCTGACAGGGTTTTAGGGCAAGGAAGTGTCGGCCGCGCTGTCCCAATGCGTTTTGGCGAACTTCGTCTTCGAAATTCTTTTTATATTTCTCCGACATGCAGGTTTTCTCACGATGTTTTCATTTACCGCTGAGCACGTGGTAAATCAGCATTTAAAATTGCAATTAACAATTTAATTGGTCCCGGCGGGGATCGAACCCGTCTTTTTTTATAAGATAAGGTGACAAACGAGCACACAGTCCACCTGATAGTAAGTGGTTGCTGTGGCCCGTAGACATCTACATTTATCCTCGTTTGCGAATCAAATTGCAAATGCGTTGTCACTAGGGCATCGGAACCGGTTTTTCCCGGTTCCAAAAGAACCGGGAATTCCCGGGTTTCAGAGGTTACGAGAAGAACCCGTTCCGAAAATATAAAACCCGGTTCTTTCGGTTCCTTTACAAAATGTCTTTAAAAGTATATCACTGCAATGTAGTGCTATAAAAAAAGTGATTATTAATCATTTCTGCTATTTATGGCAAACGGTAGGATTTGTAATGATATTTAATTTAATTTGGTATAAATTTTCAAGGGTTCCCCCACTAAAAGTGACGAAATTCTTCAAAAGCACATCGTAGCTGATTTCGGACAAGAATATTGTTTTGTTTTAGATGTAAAGACACCATGGAGTAGCATAGCCGCGATGTTTTCTGAAGTTAAAAACGATCAGAAAAGCATTAATTGATTTAAAATCTGATATACAAACAATAGTTACAAACACAGAAGAGTTAAATAATATATTGCATGTTTTTAAAACTATCGTAGAAGCTGTATCCCGTTGCGACGCAACATTGATTACAGCCGATGTTTCTTTAAAATTTGCAATAAGAAAGTTAATTGAAATGAATACTCATCTTAGTAATAAAATGTTCACTGCATTGCGAAAACAATATAAAAAACATGCAAGCATCAATACTGCGATACATAACCAACCTTGACAGTTATTTTGCCAGTATGGACGAAGCTGCAATAATCTTTTCCCGGCCTACAAGTGATGAAAGGTTACACGAAATTGAAAATTTTTACTTGGTAGAGCCATGCTGCAGCTATATTACTAGTATAGTTGTAGCACGAATAGGTCGGCTCGACCGGGGAAGGACCACGCTCTCACAGAATACGCTGCTGTGTATGGTGAGTGTAGAGAATCGGACTTCTACTGATCGGATCGGATCGGATTTTTACTGGAAACGAGGCATTCAATCTTAGTCCTCACGGGTGACAACGCATTTTGATTCGTCATCGAGGATAGATGTAGATGTCTATGGGCCACAGCAACCCCTTACCATCAAGTGGACTGTGTGCTCGTTTGTTATCCTTATTCTATAAAAACAAATCGCACAAAAGCTAGACAAAAAGTATCCCTTGAAGAAACGCCAGCAATTGGATGTCAAAATCTGCAGGAAGTTGAATTACATGAATCCCCCCTAACAAATGAAGAGGAATTTAATAGAGAGCTGTCTAAAGCTGTTAGGTAATAGTGCTACTGAATCGACAGATCAAGAAAATGACTTAATTACTACTGTGAGAGTTGAAATGGCTCTATTTGAAAATGGTGGGCAAAGACAACGAGTACTACTTATCGATAGCTAATAAACATTTAAAAACTATATCGCCCGCCAGTGTAGAGCCAGAGCGAATATTTTCTTCGTCTGCAATAGGCTGCGTTCGTCTTTGAGTGATAAAAATTTGCATGCATTAATTTTTCTGCGTTTTTTATTTAAGTAATTTTTAATTAAAACTAATTTTTTTTTCATAAGTGAGCTGATTTATGTTTTGTTATACTTAATAAAAGTATTCGTAAAGTATATTCTATGATAAAATATTGTAATGTTATAATAGAATAGAATCTTTATAAATTATTTTTATGTTGAATGATATTAAAATTTAAGTAATGTTGTAAAATGAATGTTACTAATTAGTGAGATGTTTGATTATATTTAATTAGAAAGAAACTATTGCAATTATTACTTGAATAATTACTTTAACCCACGATTTGCAATAAACCGTTTTCTTTATGAATATTATTATCGTTATTCACATTGAACAAAATAGCCTCCAACCTAAAAGAAAAAAAAGAACCGAAAGAACCGGGTACCCGGTTCTGGCAAAAGTTTAGAACCGAAAGAACCGGTTCCTGGAAAGGGACCGGTTCTCGATGCCCTAGTTGTCACCCGTGAGGACTAAGATGGAATGCCTCTTTTCCAGTAAAAACGGTCTCCGGTTCTTTACACTCACCATACAAAACACAGCACTGTTAAGCTGCTATTTTACACTGGTATTCTGTAAGAGCGTGGTCCGTCCCCGATCGAGCCGACCCATTCGTGCTACAACTATACTACTAATATAGCTGCAGCATGGCTCTACCACGTATAAAACTCGAATACCTACACAACAAGACACGTATAGAAACCACGTGTTGCTCGCGTACAGTGAAATTTACATCGAGCGCTAACCATCTGAGCTACTTCGGCAAAAGAAGGTTGCCGATTTCAAATTATGTCAGAGGTCGTAGCGTCAAAAGTATTTTATTACCATAGATTACAGAGTGCTAGGCTTAACTTGCAGAGCATAGCCATCGAACCGCGGGCTGGCACCTGGCACCACAAGAATTAATTTAATTGCGAGCGTGGTCCTTCGTTGGTCGAGCCAATCCAATTGTGCTACAACTATAGATAATATTATATTGCTGCAGCGCGGCTGTGTACCACGCATAGAATAAAGACTTCAAAGAAAGTTCTATAATGAAAGTCCGTAGAAAAGATTTAAAAGTAAATATATCAGTGAGAATTTTGATTAGTTCAAATTTTTTTCACTTTATGTATGTTAGTATTATTTATCTGTATTAATAATAAAATCAGTGAAAGTGAAAGTTACAGTCTGTGTACGTCCCACAGCTGGGCATAAGCTTTCATTTCTGAGAGGTTTTCATTATGCTAGCAACCCGGGTGTAATCCCCGCCGGCACTAATAAAATTACTATAAACAATAAAACAATATATTAATAAATAATTAGTCTTTTATTATTTTAAGTTACTTTCTCAGACTAACTAAGAAAAAAAGACGGAACCCTAAGTACATTACAATTGACGCAAAAATCAAGCCACAACCATCCTCAACTTGTTGTAATAACACGCACTCACGTAGATACAAAGAAACATCCAACTCAAATAATTTGTAACCCACAACATGGTTTAGATGCATATGTGTAGTGTGTGGGTCCTGCAGTAAGCTTTTATGGGTTATTAAATAAAGAAAGAAGAAAGATGTGTGCGTGAGTGCGTGTCAAGAAGTTAAGCACGGTTTCGGCGTCACTTGTAATACAGAGCTCCATCTATCTTTTTTGTTGGTGTGAGATTACAAAACAATTTAAGAAGCCATATAACGTAAATGGTTTAACGGTTTTATGTAGGTATCAATATTAATGTCAAAAAATAGTAACACGCGTATTGATTTTTGTGCATGTTAAACATTTTTTTTTTTACAAATAAAATATCAGAAAGCCTGACAAGTACCTAAATAGAAGACCTTTACATTTTCAACACCTTTCTACGCGTAAACTTAGTATAGTAATCCAAAAATCCTAGTTCTAGTTGTTAACATAGTAGGTAGGTACCTAGTTAACATTTTTTTGAAATAAGCTTAATAAAAGTGAAAGAATAATTACAACTTTGACTTTACACCACTAGAACCTTCGTGAGACACCGGTATAATAGTATCGCGCTTAATAACTGGTTGCCTTATCGCAGTAATTGTAAGCACCCCATTAGAAGAGAATTTTGATTCCACACTTTCTGGAAGACATCCTTCAGGTATTGCATACCGACGAACAAATCGCCTGGACACAAAACCGTACTCGTCCTTCTTTTCCTCGTGCTGACCCGTTACCACAATATATCCATCTGATGTCTTCACTGATATCTCTTCTGGTGTAAAATCTTTCAAATGCAGAAAAATTTCATATTTATTATTTTCGGCCCTCACAGAATTTTCATTTCGCCATGGAAAATTTTCTAGCCAGTCAATAGAACGTAAAACTACTTCGTCTCCGAATGAAGGCCAAGGGGACATTATTACCTACTGTAACTACTGTATTACTGTATAAAAATCTAGTCTTTAAAAATGTGGTGATCTAGAAACTTCATAAACACAAAATACAACAAAAACAATTCAACCAAAGTACTTAAATATTTACTACGTCACAAACTAATAAGAAGCACTAGTCAAGTTTATCAGTTCAGTGTAATCTAAAAATGTGCTCAATCTATACAGAACTAAAGCTTTATTTTAATGTGAATTTTATTTAAATATTACAATATATTTATTTGACAACAGCTGATAAGGCGATAACCTGTCCTGTCCTGTACATACTTTATAATTTGTGATAACCTGTGTCCTGTGTCATTTCTTTTTCATATATAGTGGCATTGGCTATAAGGTCTTTAGCCAAAAATATTAAATGAAACTGAAAGTACAAGATATATACAATATTACCACGGAATATAGAAAACAATTGTTTCTTTTATATTCCGTGAACATTACAATATTTTGTTAGTTTATTTATCTTCTTTGCATTTTTATACCATTCATTCGATTACAATGAAACTCTGGTGGGTTATTTGTATGGGAGCGTGGTAAAGCCATGCTGCAGCTATATTAATAGTATAATTGTAGCACGAATAGGTCGGCTCGACCGGGGAAGGACCACGCTGTCACAGAATACCGGCGTAAAATAGCAGCTCAATGCTGCTGTGTTTCGTATGGTGAGTGTAGAGAACCGAAGACCCTTTTTACTGGAAAAGAGGCATTCTATCTTAGTCCTCACGGCTGAAAAAGTATCTGCATTTTAATTCGCAAACGAAGATAGATGTAGATGTTTATGGGTCACAGCGGCCACTTACTATCAGGTGGACTGTGGGTTCGTTTGTCACCCTTATTCTATAAAAAAAAAAGACAGAGAATCCACAGGCACAAAACTATAATACAAAAAATCGCATCACATTATTTATATTAAAATTATAATAAAATAGAAGACTACAGTTGTGTTTTCGCCTCTAAGGACTAAGGGGGAATGCTTCACTCACAGCCTGCATACTGGCTCAGTGGCTCTCTATACCTTTCATACCGGAACATAGCGGTGCACGCACTGCTATTTAATACGAGTATGAAATAGTCAAACATATTTCTTTACTTATCGCCGTAAAATTTGACAGTTGTGGACCAAGCAAAAGATTGTAAAAATATTTTATGTTTAACTGTCTGTTGTTTTGAGAACTTGTTAAAATTAAAGTCAAAAGTGTATTTCTAATGGACATGGTAGAATTTTAGCTTGTAATAGTTGTAGTGAAAGAAAACAAGATGAAATATCATTTTACTCGTAAGCAAATATTTACGTATTATTTACTCTGAATTTCCTGATCCTTTAAATTTGTGTTAATTAATTACTAACCAATCCAAGTTATTTTTTTAACCTTACCTAAGTAGTTTTGAACCAAATTTATTAAAAACATCATGTAACTTATCCTTATTATTAACATGACCTAGTGTTGTTAGTTAATGACATGTTGTACAGGTTACCATCTGACGTTGATTTCCAAAAAATATTGATAATGTTCCCGGAATTTAGACTTGGTTAAAATGATCATTTACCGTGTAGTTTTGGTGTAAGAATATTCACTACTCCATAACATTCCATGAGTGTCATAAGAGTCGACAGAGGGAAACAAAAAAAAATATGGAGCAAGCAGCGTCTTTCTGATGACTACGGTTATTAGGAACCGTAATGATGACTACGGTACGGAAAATAAAAAACAATGTTTGCCAATCCGCTTTCCAAGCGCGGCAACTATGGCAAATGTCACCCCTATGTGTTCAGCAGTCGTCTTTAATAGCCTATGAAGGTAACGGTAAGCATTTGAGTGTGTGGTCGTCACATTTCAATGCAGATTGTTTTGCCACCAAAAACAAATTAACTAATCGGAAGCCTATTGCAATAACAACTAAAAACGTGACCAATAGGTAGATCATAATTACTAAACAATGATTATGGATATAGCGTAAGAGGTGATATAGGGAAATTAAACAGGAGATAGGCAGCAGTATCTTCCCGATAATAACTCAAAATAAAAAAATATCGTATGGGTGATCGCTATCAAACTATTTCTAATTTGTTTTGTGTGGTAAATTGTGTAATACGTGATTGTAAGCTGTTATTTTTTTAAGTCCCGCTGGGTTTCTTGCTGGTTCTTTCCAGGACAGGGGTTTTTGTTCGAACCAGTGGTAATTAAACAAAAGAGTGACTTTCAATATCTATTATTTATAAACTATATTGAATAAAGAAGTTTGTGTTTCTGTTTCATATGAGGTAGTCAATCCGCTTACCAAAAGTGGGAGCTATGGCAAATATTTCCCCTAAAAGGCAATTAATCTATGGAGAAATGTATGCTTAGAAGTGGATTTGATAGGCTGTAACGAATGAATTAATGTAAAAGCCCTAATGTTATGGAAATAGCATTTTGATGGCAATACTCGCTGTATAAAGCGAGACACGCTAGTGTCCACCATACTTCGAATAAACTGGCGTACATATAAAACATAGTGTGCAAGGGAGAAGAAAATTCCTTATGGCAAAAATGTAAGATAGAAAAGGATACCAAATCTCATGACTCTGTAACCGATTTTGAATGACAGATCGTCACAAGTCGGCACGCAAGAAAAATAGCTCCTAGACATTTTGTAATTTTTTAGCGGTTATTTTAGTAACTTTTTTCAAAAATGGTTACTTGTTTTGTGAGTGCCAAACACATTCCTGATAATTGCACATTTCACAAGTAAATTCTCAAGACGTCAATGTTAGGACGCGTTTATTTTTGGTTAAAATTTATGTTATATACTGTTTAAAATAGAGAAAGTATTCAATTATTTTGATATTTTTATTATTTTTATAAAAAAGTCACGTTGTTGATAATTTGTATGAATTTAGTAAATACATTTTTATACAAAATACTTTACATGTACGCAAGGGATTGAATCAACTATATCAAAATTAATGTCCATGTTTATTTTGAATGATAGACTTGGCCACACGACAAGAAAATAAATCCTCGAATTACGTTCTAAAACGTAATTTTATTTTGTTGAACAGATTCCCTCCGGATTGTATAAATAGAAAAATGGTTAAGGTTAATTAGACGGGTTGGTTGGAATCCAAAGAACTCAACAATTTACAGCAAACATTTTCTTGAGATATGGTAAAAGAAAAAGTAGAACTAAAACAATTTTATTAAAAGGAGTCATTTCTACATTATTTACCAGTAAGTATATATCACCGTGTAGTGGCGGGTAAGAATACTCACTACCCCATATCTTCCCGTGGGTGTCGTAAGAGACGACAAAGGGAATGTTACGGCCTGCAGCTGCCTAGCTAATGGTAGTATCCACCTAGGCCCATAGTAGGAAGATCCTACAGGCAGATACAGGTCGGGCTTTTGGCCAAAGTGGAAATTTCTAATAGAAATAAACGAGGGGAAGGATCACTATGATAAAGGCACTCACCTGCTCCAGGAGCGGAGACGGTTCTCCTAGACCGGCCCGGCTGATGACAGTGTCGTGAGTGTATGTGTGATTGTATGTGCGTGTATGTTGACGTGGCCTGATCTGGATGACGCAATGCCGTCCGGGAGAAGGTATGCGCTGGTATCCTCGGAACTTGCCCCCTCTGGAGGCACTCTTCCTGGCTTGTCACGAAATAGGACAGCTACACGTAGTACTTCAGAGGTAAATCACTATTATAGTTGCACAATTAATTTAACAGAGTATGTCCTAATGAACGATACGGTTCTCACAACGATTTACGCGGGTTGATACTTTCGTAACAAGTTAGGCGCGGGAAACGTCAGTATAGCTCGCAAGGAATTCTACAATAACTATCGAGAAGTCCGATCCCGCCGCGCCAAGCGGCCGGGGGAGAGGAAGGTGACCTCGATATCGAGGCCAAGTGCGCGCGTTAAAGAATACCTTTCGAAGGTAAATATTCTTGCCTAAACAGGGAAACTAAGGCAGAGGATGGGCAGCAGCATCTTTCTGATAACAACAAAACAACAATTAAAAAAAACTGTGGTTGCCAACCTGCTCGCCAAACGTGGCAACTATGGCAATATACTCCCCATGATAGTAACGAAGAGATGGCCCCCAGTGCCCGGCAGCCCCGCTATTCCTGGCTACGGTGACTATGGTAACGGCGGGGCAGGGGGTGCTAAGAATCTCCGGTGGAGGTTCGGTTGCCACCTCGGACGACCTACTCGATCTGGCAATTTATAACGCACGCATCCTGAGGACTGACGAGAAGATCCTGGAGCTGGAAGAAGAGATAGACAAGTTGCGCTGGAATATCATAGGATTATCAGACGTCCGAAAAGAGAGGGAGGACACGGTAATCTTCGAATCCGGCAACTTGTTCAATCACCAGGAGTGCGACCATCTGTCCCAAGGAAGTGTCGGATTTATCGTCCACAAGTCTCTCGTTAATAGCGTTGTAAAGATTGAGTGTGTCGACGAGGGTTGCGTATCTTATACTCAGAATCACCAAACGGTATTCGCTGACGGTCATACAGGTTTACGCACCAACCTCGGCACACCCCAATAAAGAGGTGGAGGAAATGTATGAGGATATCTCTAGAGCCATGCATTCCTCCAAAACCCAATATACGGTGTTAATGGGAGACTTCAATGCAAAACTAGGCACAAGAGGGAACGGTGAGCTGAAAGTAGGGAAATTTGGAATAGGGCAACGGAACCCAAGGGGCCAGCAGCTAGCCGACTTCATGAAGAAAGAGAGACTCTTTATGATGAACTCTTTCTTCCAGAAGCGGCCCCACAGAAAGTGGACCTGGTCGAGTCCCGACGGTTCGACAAAAATGAGATCGACTTCATTATGACGACCAGACGACAACTGTTCAGTGATGTCTCAGTGATCGCGAGGGTGAAAACCGGCAGCGATCACCGAATGGTGAGAGGCACACTGAACTAAACGTTAAGTTGGAGAGGTCACGTCTAATGAAATCAACGCTCCGTCCCCCTCGTGCTCTAATTCCAAGTCCCGAAACCTTTCAGCTCGAGTTACAAAACTGTTTTCAGTGCCTAGAAGATGTGCAATGCAGTGGACGATATGAATGACAAGCTCGTGGAAACTGTCCATGCGGTCGGAGCTAAGTTTTGCAAGACCCGCCGCAGAAGAACACAAAACTCTCCGATCACACTCTTAATCTTATGGATGTTAGACAGGATATGAAGTTGCAGTCTTCAGTAGATTTGACAGCATACAGGCAACTGAACAAACAGATCTCCAAATGCATGTGGCGGGACTTATGCAACTTTAATACTGCTCGTATTGAAGAAGCGTTCGAGCGGAACCAGGGCTCCAAAGTCTTTGCTAGAGATCTGTCTGCCAGAAAGAGCCAACTGTCGAAGCTGAAGACCGAGTGTGGCAGTGTCGTTTCCGGGACACCTGAGATTTTGAGTGAAATTGAGAGGTTCTATGGGCAGCTGTACACATCATCGTTGGAGGCACACGTAAGTGTGAGTAACGATCCAAGAGCGAGTCTTATACGACACTGTTCCGATGATATCCCGGACGTCAGTCTGAGCGAGATTAGAATGGCTCTCCAGCACCGTAAAAACGGCAAGGCCCCAGGCGAGGATGGAATTACAGCGGAGCTTCTGAAATCGGGTGGAAAACCGGTACTTGAAGTCCTTCAGAAGCTATTTAATTCCGTCCTCCATGATGGCAATACACCGGAGGCGTGGAGCATAAGTGCGGTGGTCTTGTTCTTCAAGAAAGGTGACAACGCTCTCTTGAAGAACTACAGACCGATTTCCCTTCTGAGCCGCGTCTACGTGTTGTTTTCGAGAGTCATTACGAATCGTCTCGCGCGCAGACTTGACGACTTCCAGCCTCCCAAACAAGCCGGTTTCCGAAATGCCTTTAGTACCATAGACCACATACATATCCTTCGGCAAATTGTACAGAAGTCTGAGGAGTACAATTTGCCACTATGTCTGGCATATGTGGACTATGAGAAAGCCTTTGATTCCATCGAAATTTGGGCGGTGCTGCATTCCCTTCAGCGCTGCCAAGTTGACTGCCGGTATATCGAAGTGCTGAAGTGCTTGTACAGTAGAGCTACGATGGCTATCCAAGTACAGAACCAGAGTACGAAACCTATCCAATTGCAGAGAGGTGGAAGACAGGGTGACGTTATATCCCCGAAACTCTTCACCGCTGCATTGGAAGACATTTTCAAGCGTCTGGACTGGAAAGGATACGGTATTAACATCAATGGCGAGTACATCACTCACCTTCTATTTGCCAACGATATAGTCCTTATGGCAGAATCGCTGAAGGACCTAAGCACTATGCTCAATGACCTCATTGTTTCCCAACGGATAGGTCTTAAAATGAACACGGACAAAACAAGGAACATGTTTAATATCCATGTCACACCTATGCCGGTAGTTGTTGTTTATTTTAGAACTACCACGGTATAAATTCAGTTAATTTTTGAAGTTATTCAATTTCTTGCACTAAACAATTTTTTTAAATCGTTTTACCCCTTCTTTAACAATCATTTTTCGATAGTCCTTGTAAGTAAAATGTACATCACTAGCTAACGCACACAATGACAAATCAAAATTAGTCAAGCGTTTTCGGGCTGTCAGGTCGTCTATACGACAGTATATTCTAGTCTATGGTGTCCACTGTCACCGCATCCCTAATCACAGATCTACTATCTGTGACTGGAGCGTACGCTCTTAATATTATGTCTTGATACGTAATGATTTTCTCATATAAGTAGTGAATTATTTTTTGATATCTTGATTTTATTGTTTATTGTTTAAAAATATGATACCAATAGAAACTCTTTTCTCTATAGTACTGCATGGATCTCATAGAGTAGAGTAATATATACGGGAATTGGACCTCCGCATTAGAGATTAGAGGTATGGACTATGGACAGTTTATTTTATATAATCTTTGGGCATGGATCTTTTTCGTACTTATTCAGGGATAAGAGAGGAGACAACAAGCTGTACCCACTAAGATAAGACGGAGAACCGTTTGTACACGACACTATTAAAATAATAAATAAGCGTATTAGGCTAGTAATAATAATAAGTTATGCGTAACACACGATTTAATACGCTTTGTTGAATAACAAGAGTGCGATTAAGATCCTGAATGAATACTTGATGTTAGCAAAGCAATATTTGCATTTAATTACTGAATTTGTTTTTTAGTTTAAAACTTACGTAGATTCAATTTTATAATCATGACCACAATTTATGATAGATAAATAATTATAATTAAATCTGGCTTTATCTCTTCAGTCTGTAAACATTATTATCAGTAACATACCATATAATATTGAATAGTCTTTCGTCAAAATTCAATAGATAAGCAAAATTTTAACCTATTTGATCTAGAATGTCTGTAAGTAAGGTAGCTATCGTAACTGGAGCAAATAAAGGATTAGGTTATGCTCTGGTCAAAGAATTGTGCAAAAATTATAATGGCATTGTCTATTTAACATCACGAGACAAAGAAAGGGGTAGACGTGCCTGTGAACGTCTAAATCAGTTGGATTTACATCCAGAATATCATCAACTTGATATTGTAAACAATCTAAATATTACAAAATTCTGTTCTTTCATCAAAAATAAAGATCAAAGAGTGGATATTTTAATAAACAATGCAGGAATACTTTTCCTTAAGGACGCAAAAGAACCTAGAGATTTTCAAGCCGAGCAGACAATACTCGTCAACTTTACTGCATTGGTGAGTTTTACTGAAGCAATGTTACCCTATATCGCTAACGGCGGAAAAATAGTGAACATATCGAGTTCTTCGGGACATTTATCGCGAATACCATCGGAAAAGTTAAGAACGAAAATCAGTTCGCCAAATTTAACACTGAACGAATTAAAAGAACTAATGAATGATTACGTTGAAGCTGTGAAACAAGGCAAGGATATTGAAGAGGGATGGGGCGATTCTCCATACGTTGTGTCGAAAAATGCTGTAAACGCGTACACATTTATGTTGCAACGAAGACTAGCAGATAGAAGTATGTATCTTAATTATTTTATAATAAATTAACTTAAGGCATTAAGTCCGCCATATGTACGATTTTTCTTTTGTGCATAAAAGTTTAAATCAATAAAAAAAAAAATATGTAACTGACAAATTAGTGAACTATTCACCTGCAGGCAAATAGTAACTGCAGCTCGCGACTGCAAATGCGTTGTCACCTTTGATGATCAAGATGAAATTTACCACAGCCTTTAATTATATCAGTTCTTTATTCCCTTCCAGCCGGATCTTCTAAATGACATTTGACCCAGACAGATACTATTGGCGGCGGATCCATACACCAGGACCCGTTGCACTGGTGGAGCGTGGAGAATAGTTCTGTTGCACTTTACATAAGAAAGAACAGTACTCCACTGCGGAGGGGCCGTAATGAGATCGATGGATGCATGTGGCTCAGGACCTCAGGTGCAGTAAGGATGTTAGTAGTGTCCTTTTTTTTACAAGGGCAAATTACCTAAGCATACTCACCTCGCGGGGGCAAGGGTGGTTTATGTCGGACTCACACCGACTAAAACCCTGTGGTGTAACCTTCGCCGCATATTGACAGGGTCACGAGAACGCTTTAGAACACATTCGTGTTCACAAACACAAAAATATACAACAAAAAAAAGGAGCAAGGAAACTGCCGTAACCTTTTTCCATCTTTCCCGCCGACAAAAAGGCTATTTCGAGCAGACCTTATAAGTAATTGCACACACAATCTAATGCTGAATATAGGCGTTTACTACAGACTTCAAAATGGAGACAGTACTCAATTCTACTGTTTTTTTTTATGAGTGTACCTCATTACCGAGAAACCTGGGCTTCCCGAGAAATTGTACAATTGGATCACCAGTTTTCTTGCAGATCGGAGCATCAAGGTCGTAGTAGACGGTGCATGCTCCGATTATAAGCCTATTAACGCTGGTGTTCCACAAGGCTGCTTGCTATCACCAACGCTGTTTCTTCTGCATATCAATGATATGTTGCAAACCGGTAACATAGATTTCTACGCAGAGGACAGCACTGGTGATGCTCTATATACCGGCCGTGCCAATATTTCTCGGGAAAACGTACTGGAACAAACTTGTCTAAAGTCGAGACTTTGTTGAACAAAGTCTCATACTGGGGGCGACTAAATTTAGTCCAGTTCAATCCCCAGAAGACAGCGTTTACCGCTAAAAACAACCCCTTTGTCGTATCTCCTCAGTTTCAAGGCACTCCCCTTATTGCCTCAACTAGTATCAGAATCCTCGGTATCGACATATCGAGTGACGTGCAGTTTCTTGGTCACTTGGAAGAGAAGGCCAAATTGGCCTCTAAAACGCTTGGCATGCTCAGTAGAGCGGGACAGTATTTCATGCCGGCCCACCGCTTGCAACTTTACAGGCGCAGGTTCGGCCTCACATGGAATACTGTTCCCATCTCTGGGTAGTGGCTCCCCAGTGCCAGCTCCTTCCACTTGACCGCATCCAGCGCAGAGTGGTTCGAATCGTCGACGACCGAGTTCTTGCCGATCGGCTTGACTCACTGGCACTGCGTAGAGATGTTGCATGTCATTGCGTATTTTATCGCATCTATCACGGGGAGTGCTCTGAGGACTTGTTCGGACTAATTCCAGCCGCTCAATTTCACCATCGAACATCGCGACAAAACTCGCGATACCATCCATATCATGTAGATGATTGGCGCGGTCCACCACTTCGTGATTTAGAAGAAGTTTTCTCCTTCGCACAACTACCTTTTGGAATCGATTACCACCAGCGATTTTTCCGGATCGATAGGACTTAGGGACCTTCAAGAAGAGGCTACTCCTTTTTAAAAGGCCGGCAACGCATCTGCAATTCCCCTGGTGTTGCAGTTGTTCATGAGCTGCGGTAGTCACCATCAGGTGAGCCGCACGCTCGTTTGCCCCCTATCTTATAAAAAAAAAAAACTTTTTTCTGGGTAAACCGATTTCGATGAATCTTTTTTTAACTGAAAGCTGGTAATTCTCATGTGGTCCCATATAAATTTTATCGAGGTCTGACCAATAGTTTTGAGTTATTCTTTATAATCGGTTTAAGTCGGTTGTACAATTTTTTTTATTTTAAATTATTTTAGCTTCGGTAGCAGGAGGTATGTAACATTGAAAGATTTGCTTATATTCACCTGCGCGCGGCTCTAGGGTAAAAAGGATGTACCAACTTTTTATCCAAACGCCAAACCTCTTACGATCCTGCACCTGGCTAATTTCTTTAGACAGTATTTTATTTCATATGTCACGTTTTTGACATTTTATTTGTAGTTGTTTTGGTATATATTACATGAAATTACGAGTTTATTTAGTGTTTTGATTGTAGATTGAAGCCTCCCGCAACATACGCCTCCAGAATAGAGTACATTTACCTTATCTACCCGCTGTAGACTGAGCATTGCATTACTGCCAACCTAAAACATAAACAAAATCTAAAATATAAGAAATAAATAAATAAAAGCAATTTTCATAACTAGATGCCTAATTACAATTTTAAAAAATATGTACTAACCTGAGATATTCTAATACATTCAAATTTTATTTATGGTAAAGTTAGTGACAACAAGTAAATAAGTATGCCAATGAGGAAATAAAAAGCAATCATATAACATGGTAACTGCAGTACCAACTGCATGTTGAAAACTAAGCAGCCGCGCCACCACATCCACATACACACGCATACTGCCAGTCCTAGACTAGACTTGAGGCAATCTTTTTATATGAATCGTAGTGTTTCGTGTTCGCGTGTTCCTTAATTTAGCCGAAAACGATATTTTTTTTTATAAAATAATGATGACAAACGTGCACACAATCCACCTGATGGTAAGTGGATGCTGCGGCTCATAGATATCTATATTTATCCTCAATTAAGAATCAAAATATAGATGCGTTGTCACCGTTGAGAACTTAGATGGAATGCCTCATTTCCAGTAAAAAGGGTCTCCGGTGTATAAGACTTATCACTACAGCCCATCACAATAGGTCGCACAGATTGCTATAAAGTACAGTCATAAGCCACCTGTATCGATAGACTACCTGCGTGTTTCGGCAGGTCGTCACTCCATCTAGCGGGGGTTAGCCCAACACTGCGCTTTCTAGTACTAGGCTGCCGTTTGAGAACCTTTCTGCCTCATCAATCGTTCAGTTATTACCGCTTGATCTTACTGATGCATAAAAAATAAGTAAAAAATTAATTCATTAAACACTTATTCGTCTTTATTACTTAGAGCTACAGGTGAACGCGTAAACACTCATCCTATTCTAACCATGCTTGCATGCATGCTTCATGAAACGTTAAGAGATAATGTCGGAGATATACAGAAGGGGGGTCATATACAAGGGCAAACGACACAACCAGACTCATACACCAACAATTTGTGTTACACATATGTTGGCTGCGACTAATTTCAAACCCAGGACCCACAGCTTAATAACTAGGTACTCTTCCATACACTTCTTCTCATGGATAAACCGTAAATCTCAACTGGTGGACATGGATATGTGCCGTTGCAAAAGAATTTGCCGAAATCATCATGTTTGGCAAGCGGGTTGACTATCGCAGAACCAGTATCTTTGACGCTTCTACTCGTCACCAGGTTTGGGTGTTTTACGTCGTGTGAACGAGATGGTTACGGCGCCATCTATCGGCAGTCTTTTGTGGCATTATCTATAATATATCTTACGAGAACAACGTAATAAAATGGGGTAATGGATTCCGTTACACCGCCAAAGCATGGTTCTCACCATGGCCACTAGTGCTCTACATTAGTGCTAATTATTCTGCTATTTTACGATAATAATTTATATTTTGTGAGACTTTATAACGTACTCGGCGGTGAAGGAAAACATCGTGAGGAAACCTGCATGTCTGAGAACTAAAAAAAAATATTTAGAAGACATGTAAAGTCCGCCAAGAGCTTTATAAACCCTCTCAGAAGTAAGAGGAGGCCGGCGCCCAGCCGTGGGACGTATATAAAGGCTGTAACTTTACTTTTATAAATTTTGATTTTGCTTTTGATTTCTTTTTTGTTGATTTTGTTTAGCTAAGTAAGTTACTATAGATCCAGAATATTGCGTGATACTTCTCAATTGAATTAAATGTTATTTTTCGAATTTTGTTATGTTCTTCTAAAAAGAAATGTAATCATTACAAAGTGGTAGTTACATACTTGAATATTATGTGTATATTTCTAATGTTAGTTCATTTGTTCTAAACACATTTATATTTTAAAAAAAAATTTGTTCGCATGCCACGAATGGCAAAATATGTGGAAACAAGTATTGACTCTGTATCCATCCGTCTGTACCAATGTTTTTAGCGAAATAAATGATTTGATTTGATTTGATTTTTTACTTTTGTGAGACCTCTGAAAATTTCTATTCTTTAATGAGCACATTGAAACATGGCACCTTAACATCACGCATAATTATTGCTTACGCACACAAACGCACAGTCTCATCAAGCAAAAGAAACTTTGTGTAAATACCTCTAAAGTCAAAAACAAATAAAATTGCAAGGTACTAAAAATAAGTTGATAGCTAATAAATCGAACCACTACACGTATAACAAGCATGGCATACATTATAGGCGTTGATCATACGCAACACTTTGTTTTGGGTCTGTTAAGTGGTGTGAGGTGGCGAGGAGGCGAAATTCTAATCTCGCTATTCCATTGGTTCGTTCACTCAATAATTAACACAAATTTATCCAGTGCTAAAACTTATACACACTAACCTTAACTCAATCGACAAAAAAAACCTGAGGTATTCAGTATAAGCCTTCTAAATTTCAGAAATCACTGTAAACTGCGTGCATCCCGGCTATGTAATAACGGACATGACGCGCGGTAGCGGCTCCGTGACACCGGAACAGGCCGCGAAAGTGGTGGTAAAGCTGGCTTTGGAGCCCGAAGGCGGAGGCCTATATGTGTGGCATAACGGCGCTGTTGTGCCTTGGGACGGACCCGATCCTAGAGGCTTTATTGATAATATATAATAGCCTAATTGGTTATGGTCATTGATTTTTTTAATAAATCTATTTTTATCATTCTTTCCGTTATTATTTTGGGAAAATTCTTCATTAAAACTGTTAATATAGAACCTATTAGTTATTGTTTTGCAACAATACTTTGAAATGTACATTTTCTTTTAAATATATAGTCATAAATTGGAGTATTCGTAAAGGTGTTACTTTCTAACAATAAACATAATTGGAAATATTTGGAGTTTTTCCTTATGTCACTTGCTTGCATTTTAGAGCCAAAACGATACAGGTCGTAAACAAAAGGTATGAGATATGTATATCTAATTAAATTTCTTGTCCATTCCAAGGTTGTTTGGAGAAGCGATAAGGTCGTCCATTGCATATTATTATCATGACGCATTTTCCTGTCATTTGTAATATTTTTGTTGTACAATAAAGTTTTAGTTATTTAATTCATAGGTTTTTTTTTGGACTATTATCATATAGTTTGTAATTAAAGGTAATTTTGCCAATATAAGAAAAATATTTCTAAATTAGAGTAGCTAAAGAAAAATCGAATTGGAACAAACAATAGAACTTCCGGCCTACGTACGTAGACACAAACGGTGCATGTTTGCGGACAGTACGCGGTACCCCAATAATACATGCCATCAAAAAAAAAGCCAAGTCTCGCAACTCAGTTCTTTTACCGTAAAAAGTTGTGAGATCCATGTAATACCAAATCGGTTAATTTATTCAGTCCCTACTTAAGAGTCCTTCTGTCTTACATAAATAGCTAACCTGACAAAATCTTAGTGACCATATCAATATTAAAAATATTTTATGTTTTAAATAAATAGATTGAGTTGGCCATCGCATGAAAACACAATGTATCTCTCAAGTAATACATATTATATTAAATAAGATTGTTTAGTGCACCTACTTACATAGCGGATTGATCCTCACTATGTTTCAAAAGGCAAAGTATGTAGTCGGTGATTTTGGCGGGAAAAATCCACCAGACTATTTTTTAGAACGACGTATACCGATAAAAAAGAAATATTTTTATGATATATCATTTTTGACAAATTCTTATATTATGTTGTCTTGTTTCATTCACTCATATTTCCGGAACCCAATGTGATGAAGGTGTGCTCATTAAAAGAATGAATAAGTATTCTTCAATTTTAATGATCTTCATTGATAATGGCGCAATAAGGTACAAAATGGAATCGAATTATTGGCATCTCATTTTAATATAGAAAATAATAATAATCTTTCATAACAGGGATATGACACTATGTAATACTACAACGAATATACAAATACTTTCGGAAACGAAACGTTAAATAAGAAATATGATAAATCACAGCGGGGAAGTCGAGCCGAAACCGAAGTATGAAACAGACAAAAGTAAAAAAATAAACATTTTAAATAAAACAAATAGGTTAATTTATTTTACAAATTCCTTTGTTATCATATTTCTCTCGTTTAAAATATGCTCTCTTAATACAAAGATTTATCGATCGTATCACCAACGGAAAGAGAATAACGTTTTACTGATAGAAAATATAATATCCGCTGTGAGAGGAGGTTTGTAGATTGCACTGTGCCGGCGTTACTTGGCGTCGATGCACTCGGCGGGGTGCTGCGGCGCCTTGGCGGGCGCGAAGCCCGGCGGCAGCGGGATGCTGCCGTACGCCGCGCCGCCCCACAGCTTGGGCGCCGCCCACTGCTGCGCCACCAGCGGCACCTGCCACCGACAATACCATGTCTACTAAACTCACGCTTAATCAACTTTTTTATACAATAAGGGTGATAAACGAATACACGGTCTATCTAACGATAAGTAGATGCTATAGCCCAAAGACATCTACATCAATCCTCGATTAAAAATCATAATACAATTGAATTGCCACCACGAAGGACCTAATTTCTAATAAAAAGGGTCTCCCGTTCTCTACACTCACCATATGAAACACAGCAGCATTGAGCTGCTGTTTTACGCTGGCATTTTGTGAGAGCGTGGTCCTTCCCCGGTCGCGTCAAGCCATTCGTGCTACAACCATAATATAGCTGCAACATGGCTCTAATACTTAAAAAAAGCTTGATCCCAGAAAGACAAACCTATGTTTGTTTGCTTAAAACTTTTAAATTCTTTCGTCAACCTACAATATAGTAATGCTCCAGCACAGTGGGATTAAGACAACTGTTAAATAGCAACATTATGGTGGTGTGTTTCGTTTAGTAAACGCCAAGAACTGGAGTCGCTTTTTTCTATTAACGAGGTGTTGAATGTTAGTCCTTAGAAGTGAAAATGCACCTGAATTTTGATTCTTAATCAAGGATAGATGTAGGTGTCTATGGGCCACAGCATTCACTTACCATCAGGTAAGTTATTGAAAGATCATATTCCATATATTATTTCCTTCATTATTTGCGATCAATATTAATTTAATATTATTATTATTATTATTATCTATTTTTATATATATTTTTTATATTATACAATACTAACCATTATGCTGTCTATTATAAGTGAAAGCTTATGTACTTCCCACAGCACTATGAAATTTTATATCAAGTGCTTATTCATTGAACTATCACTCAAAATCTCAAATATTTGTGTTAACTTATATTATTATTTATTAGTTTAATATAACATTTATTATAACGCAACTAAGCTTTCTGAATTTATGTTTAATCAACCTTGTGATACATGGAGCTATGTCAGTTATTCTTGTTCTTCTTGCAGAGAAACCCTGAGCAGTCCAGAGTAAATTCCTATAAAGTTCACTGTATCATTTTTAAGTTTACTTCTGAATTAGTAAGAGAAACAAATCAATGATTTACATTTTTATACTTATTATAAGCCATTACTTATTTACAATCCAATGTGGTGGTAGGTGGTAATGGAGCCCTAGGTGGTAAATCACACTGTCATAGTGAAACAAAAGTCTGTTCATTCTTGTCACCCAGATTGAAGAAAGAGATGCTGGTAAATTATTCAACTCCTTTGCGCTACCCTTTACGAGGGACTACCTATATATTGGACTATATAAATATTGGAATATCAGCAACAACGAGGTGAAGGCCCTTCCAACGTCTAGTTATCCGATGGTGAAAAGGGGTGGAAGTAAATAAGGCACGTAGTTTTTGCGCACATTAAGCAATCCATCCTATAGAATATCAAGGGACTGGATACTGTACACATGTGCTCAAGACTGACAAGATTAGTTTTAATCAAATCAAGGTCACCGATAAGCCTCTTCACTGAGTGATAAATACAAGCACAATTTATTTGTTCATAAATTTAAATAAATTTCAAAGATACATTTAGTAGCTTTTTTTTATTACCCAAAAGTTCTGTTCGTAATTTTAAATCTACGTGCATATCAATGAAACATACTAGACGAAAATGTATGCGTGCATACCAGGTTCTTTACTGTTCTTTAGATAATTGTTCGTAGTGATTATTGTTTATTGCGATTAGATGTTCTTTTAAACAACTAAGGATGATAAATTAGCACACAGTCCACCTTATGGTAAGTGGATGCTGTGACCAATAGAGATCGACATTTTTCTGAGGACCAAGATAAAATTCTTAGTCTTCAATTTTCGTTTCTCACTATACGAAACAGCATTTTTATGCTGTTATATAACGTAAGTATTCCGAGCAAGATTGGTCCTTCTCGGGTACTTTTTGTCACACAACACTTGATGAAACAGTATGCTTTTGAGCTATGCTTACCTGTCTGTTATTCTGTCGTAATACCATCTTATCTTACCACAACTCTTAGGACACATTTGTATACACTAACATGGTCTTCCTTTCCTCTACCTTACTAGTAGTAGGGTAGAGGAAACCTACTTAACAGTACAATAAAATATTTACAAACCTGATGATGCTTGGAGATGCCATTGGGCTGTATACTAAGCTGGTTGAATCTTGCGAACAATTCTTGTTGCTGCTGTGTGAGGCCAGCCTGAGGAGGCTGCTTGCCAAAATTCACTGATGTTGACATTATGGCTGGGTCCATCTGAGTCCAGTCAGAGAATATTGCACTGTTCGAATTGTAACCTGAAAATGTTTATTTATAAAAGTTGCGTAAGTTATGAGGCTCTAAGAAAAATGACTTTGCTAAGTAAATGAGTACCCACAATATCAGTGGTATGCTATATATGTTACATCTTTAAAAGAGCAATATCAGCCATCAAAATCGAAGGGAATGTAAAATATGAATTTGAGCAAATTATTTTTGTTAATAAGCATCTCATAAGATTTTTGTCATAGCTTTCAATATAGATTACCTTGGTGTGCTTGTTGCCGAGGTACTCCGATTCCAAAAGTGTTGATATGGCTGAAGCCAGGGGGTGGCAGTCTGGCACGGCGTACACGTTCCATGTTATCCCTAAAAATTGTAGTATTATAATACGGATTGTAATACTCAGCGAAGAGAATCCAATCCAAGTTAAATAATGAATGAGATGTGTTTTTTTTTTTTTATATTGGCATTGATGATAAAAATTATAATATATTGATGATTATATCCATCGTATATAAAGAAAATACCAACATGAACCATACACATTTTTCTCCTAATCCTAAATAATTAAATTATCACAAATAATTATTTACCCGCTAGGGATTGTATTAAGCATCATTTCCGTCTCCATCATCTCTGCAAGGGCCTTCTGTGTTTCCTTAAATGGATCAAAATCAAGGTCATCATCTCCATCGCCAGCCGCGCGGCTGCCATTATTTTCGTTGCCCCGTATATTGTTCATCCTGAAATAAAAAATAAAAGTTAAGATGGATGAAAACTAACTGCCTAGAAACGCCCTACACACTTCTTATTTAGTATTAAGGCTATTGAAACTGGACCAAAGTAGTTAATTTAATATTACAAACATACAAATCCAAACAAACTTTTACCACTCAGCACAAGGAAAATCAATGCTTAAAATACTAAATCTTAGTAGAGTCAGCATCAGCAAGCAACCTGCCTCAAAATTATAAATTTAAAATCGATATAGCAAGACCAGCGATACAAGATAAAGAATAAAAGTAAAATTTCTGAAGTGCATAGATATTATCGATTAAACTTATTTTTTAATAGCCTAAATTAAAATTCTACAGATTTAAATCTCCCCCTGCACTCGAAGCATATAAGTACTATATAATAATACTAATTTTATTTTATTTTTTAAACTATGGTTGGTATGATTCAGTCATAACGTATGGGCTAAGTAGCTACGGACGAACAGACAAATCACACCTACAGTACATTTATTAACTACAACTTAGGATTTTAAAAGCGATTATACCTATAAAAATTAAACTTCAGGCAAAAACAAATGCAAACTTTATATTTAAATACTGCAAGGTACTCAATATCCATGACAAAGTCCAATATCAATTGTTAAAAGAATAATTCTTTAATTTAGATATACAACATACAGTCTCAAATAAAATTCAGACCCGCAAAGTAACTCAAAAAAAATTAATAACAATACCATCCAAAAATAAATATGGTGAGCGCACTTGCGCATACATAATACCTCGCTTAATAAATCCTCTGAATAATAAATTTAAAAGTGAACTTAATGAAGTTAACATAAAGTATAAATTAAAATGTTACTTCCTTAATAATTATTAGTTGTTATCCCCATTTTTTGTAAGTATAGACGGAACGGCACGCAACACAAACCTGCGTGGTTTTTCGCTGTGCCGCATTATTGTAACAATTTTTATCTAATAATAAATTAAAAAAAAAAAGATTTATCTGAATTAATAATGTGATACCTTTGTTTGTGCTCCATCTCTAGGCGCTCAGCACTGAGCATATTGTGTGGATAGTGTGGAGACTGTTGAAGCTGGTGTTGGTGTGGGTGCTCCTGAGGGTAGCGGCGCTCGTCCATGGGGTTACGCGATAGCATCTGTCGCATCTGCTGCGCTTTATGGAAGTCTGTGAAGAATTTGTCCATGTTTTCTGCCAGGTAGCGTCCTTCGTTCTGTAATATTCCACCATGATATAAGGAATAGCGAAAAAACATATCTTAACCGAAAAATTATTAATACATTCAAATTTTTTTAATTCAGAATGGGTAATAGGGACCATAACCCTAAAGGCGAAATGTCCACCGCAAACTAAACTAACTTAAGGATAAACTTAGTTTAGTTTGCAGTGGACATTAAGTAGTAGCAGTAACTTCATTCGAATATCTTATGGGAAATGCCATAAGGCTCTATCTGATAATGATATCATCCGATAAATTATGATTTAACCATTTAGTGAAAATCCAAGGCTCAAATACCAAATTGGCAATCATTTAAATTGCGGAAAATACAATGGAACCGCGCGGTGAAATAATCTATCATCATATATCTCGTGGGTGATGCTAGAAATGCCAGAAAAATCTTATGGCTTCCGATAGATAGGCGTAGGCGGTATAATTATACCGTTTACGCTAGGCTTAAAATACACAGACCGGCGACGGGCAGCGTCAAAGGATCAAGTCTTCTGGTGCTGCGTTCGTCAATACGCCTGCCAACTCAGGATTACGGCAAAACCTTCCTACAGTGGGAGAGGTCCACATCCAGCAGTGGACATTTACGTGCCGATGATGATGAAGATCAAAGTTCATGGACTATGTGCTCATGAAGATGGGAAATGTTCTTCTAGTTTTGTATCATTAAAAACAACATTTTATCCAATTTGAAATTGAAAAGTTTCTAAATAATTATTACTTGATGCGTTAATAACAGAGATATTTGTCTGTCAAAAAATAAATTAATAATATAAAATGTGACAAAACTATAATAATAATACTCACTGCTGACTGAGGGCCATCAAATCCATTTACAAGCCCACTGTGCTGCATCTGTGGCTGATTCTGTTGTTGTAGCAACTGTTGGTTGTGGAGCATATATCCACCACCCATGGAGTTCATTGATAATGTGTTTGCCGCTAGTGTATTCGCTGATAGTGCATTAGCTGATATTGAGTTGGCACTGCCACCCAAGGAGTTTGATGCCATGGAATTGTCTACACGCATACCGAATGGTGGAAGCATATTGGGATTCTGATGAAAATTTGCACCTGCACAAGATAACTCGAGTTGAGTTGCGAATAATAATTTACCCATTCAAACTCGTAATGTTAATATATTTCATATATAATCTCAAACAGATTTATCATCCTTAAATAATATGGTAAAAATAACACATGAATAAATTCAAAAGGTAATTAGAAGGGTTATTTATTTGAAACACCTCAGTACATTCTTTAAGTTACAGACCTATAATAAGACCCTAAGCTGGGCACAGGCCTACTCTCATTTCTAAGACGGTTTTAGGTCAAGAAAGTGTCCGCAGCCCTGCCTCAATGCGTGTTGGCGAACTTTACGTGTCAAATTACTTTTTAATTGTAATCAACATTTAATGATGCTGGTGGGGGTGAAACCAGTATGGCTAATGTACTGAAATTAAAAAAAGAGTGCTTAGCCCCCTCAGTTAACATAACTTTATATCTGTACTTTCATTAGTTAGGTTATCTATTGTTATTAAGTTAGTGTAATACAAAGAAAAATCACTATTTATCTATATCTGCTAATTTTTATGTAAAAATTTAACAGAGCATAATATTATACATTATCGTATTGAGAGCACTTGAAACAGCCTTACAAACAATTACAGGAACAACAATAGAATCAGGCATAACATCAGGAGCCCAAAAATATAATATTTGTTTTATCTTCTTACCTAATAATTCACTAGCAGACTCTAGACCTATACTGGATGATGTCATATAGTGCTTTGGTTCCACCATAACATTGTGCTGCCTCGCCAGCATTTCATTCTGTCTCATCAGCATTTCACTACGGCTACGCTGCTCGCGCATCATCAATTCCTTCTGATCCATCAGACCTTGGCTAATTTGGCTAACCTGTCTATCGTTACTTAGATAATTCACTGAATCCCTGTCTAAAAGTCCATAACCATTAACTAAAGGTGATTTCATATTGTGCGCCAATAAGTGGTTATTATCAACTAGGCCTGCAAGCATTTCCCTATGCCTCTGCATCATTAACACTTCACTGTTAGCGTCATTTAATAGATTGTGTGTATTGTCGTCGTCTAGCAGACTGTGATCGCTATTGTCTAACAAATCGTGATTTTCTAACAGACTGTGTCTATCCGATTCCAATTCATCTAATTCATTTGAAAGGTAACTGTGTTGTGTATCACTTTCGAAGACTGAACTTGTGTGATTCTCTGTATTGTTAAATATCTGTGAACTTTCCATTGTCTCTGGTTCTGTGACTTCGTTACTAATACTATTACTATTGCTATTGCTGTTCTTCTGTTTTGATTTGTTTTCTGATTTGCTCTTCTTACTTTGTCCATTTGTGTTGCTGTCTTTGTTGCTCCTGCTTGTTTTACTTTCTGTGTGATTGTTTTCTTTGTTTTTCGTTTGAGACTGCTGTGTATGTTGTTGTGTGGGACTTGAAGATTCTGATATACCATTTTCTTGTGATTGTGACTTAACTGTAAACATTAAAATTAGTTTTGACAATTCTGAATTAAAAGGATCTCAGAAAGAGCTGCAAAAAATTTAAGGAATAGATTTAAAGTTATCTATTTCTGTCATCCCAAACAACCAATCAAGCTAGACAGACAGACAGCGAGAGACAATATTGCTTGGACTGATTATACTTATGAAAAATGATCACTATTCCGTAATCTGATAAATATATCAAAAGAAATATTTAAAACTGACATCAGTAGTGAGTTTGCCAGAACCAAAACGATTGTTGATAAAAAAAATTAAAAGTGTCCAAACAAAAAAGTTCAATAAAGGGGTATTTAATTGTCAATATATTTATAAAAAAAATAATTTTGTAAATGTGTTGTTTTTATAGTTTCTTATTCAAATAAATAAGTAATTCTGGCATTGAAATATAAAAAACCTTTTTATGTAGCTTTAAGAGAGTAAATTTGTTTTTTTTATAGGATAGGGTGACAAACGAGCACACAGTCCACCTGATGGTAAGTGGTTGCTGTGACCCATAGACATCTACATCTAAAAAATCAAAATGCAGATGCATTGTCACCCGTGAGGACTAAGATGGAATGCCTCTTTTCCAGTAAAAAGGGTCTCCGGTTCTCTACACTCACCATACGAAACACAGCAGCGTTAAGCTGCTATTTTACGCTGGTATTCTGTAAGAGCGTGGTCCTTCCCCGGTCGAACCGACCCATTCGTGCTACAACTATACCACCAATATAGCTGCAGCATGGCTCTACCACGTATGTACTTTGTTAAAGATAAAATTCTATTTTGGGATTACATTTAAAAAATTTAATACTTAAATTTTTTTGTCTTTAAATGAGTTCTTACTTATTCAAAATTACTTCTTTTACAATATTCTTTTATTTGAGAGACTCACCTGTAGATTGCTGTGGTTTTGGACTGGGCTGTTTCCTAGCGGGACTGTCGGAGGGTGGGGATGAGCTGAGACTGGGCCATGCTTCTTTGTTGTTACTATTGCTACCGACCCCATTACTGCTACCATTTTCTTTACCACTGTTACCATTCGCTGTGTCCTTTTTCGATCTGGAAAGAACGAAAATAAAATACTTAAGTAGCCAGAGTGTAGCACACACATTGTAATATTTCATAAATATGTAACAAAATTTTAACCTTATTGATTGAAAATATTATACCATTTTTAAAAGAAATGCTTTATATAGCATAACATTGCTATATATAGATAAAACTGATGCAAATATTCAATGAACAGAAAAATTGACATATGAAGAGAAAATAAAGAAGACAAAAGTATTTTTTTAAGATTAAAGTTGTTAGTGCCAAACAAAATTAAATGATATACTTTTTTTTTATAGAATACATGTGACAAACGAGCACATAGTCCACCTAATAGTAAGTGGATGCTGGGGCCCGTAGACATTAAAATTTAAATTCGATAAATATCAATATCTATCCTCGATTAACCGGTTCAGTGCGGGTAACATGCCAGGCGTGCCATCTATTACTTTTGTGTGTGGCGTATGACACGCGAGTCGTGTCTTTTTTTAAAATCGTTATAACTCGCTCAAATTGCTTTTTTGGAAAATTTATCCAGAACAAAATATTCATTATTTTGCGAGTAGTTCATGCATGCAGCTTCGTTTTTGGATATTTTGAAAATTAGACATTTTTAGGGGTTGATAACCTTTTTTTAACGTATACATGGTACTATTTTTACTTTGTGGGTTTTAAATCATGTTATGGAAAAATAGTCTAATAAGTAACAAATAATAGCACTCATTGCGATCGCTCACAAACTCGAGTTGTAAATAAATTTCTGGAAAACAAGTCTCCTCTTAAAAAAAACAATGCGTTTGTCTTATTGTTTAATTTTGCTTAAAATGGTTGAACTGTCGTCTTATTACTATCATATGGCCGAATAGACCTACGAAGTACCATGTGCTCTTGTAATATGGAATAAGGTTTATTTTTGCTTGAAACAGTTCGAAACCGTTCATGCATAAAAAAAGTTCGCTAATAAATAAGTCTTTTGTAAATCCGTTTTTTTCCTTTTGAAAACACTTGTTTTGCTATTCTTACTAATTAGACGTTTTCAGATCGACTTTACTTTTACATTTGTATAACATTAAATAATATTTAACATTTGTAAATATCAATGAATGATATACCTTTTTTTTTCAAATAAGGTTCTTCATCGTTTGATAATTACAAATGTTATTATTAGGTGAAAATTTAATTTAATAAAAACCAAGGTTTCCAGGGTGATTTAGGTGTACCTACTTATATAAATGATTTTTTTATAACAACAAAAAATAGTACAAAAGGTTTGTAATCTCTTCACAAAAAAGTCACTTTCTCTCAATGTCAAAGAAAACGCGTAAAAAACACGTAGTTACCCACTAAAAACAAGTATCCTTCCATTTGTAACTTATAGTTTGATGTCAAATATACTTAATTAGGTCTGTGGCGCTTGACACGCCCGGCGTGACATGAAATATTTGTTTGCCGCCACAGCTAAAAGTTGTCGAAAATTGGTGCCGTAACGAATCGGTTAAGAATCAAAATGCAGATGTGTTATCACCCCTGAGGACTAAGTTGGATGGAATGTCTTGTTTCCATTAAAAAGGCTCTCTGGTTCTCTACCAACCATAATATTATATCCTGCAGCATAGTTTTACCATATAATAAATTAAAGCTAATACATTAAACAAAAATTATAGTTTTACCACATAAAATGTGTCATTTCATATACAATTTGGTTTTAGCTATTGAGGGCTGAAACAAAGTTAGTATTATACGAAGTTTGTTTCGAGAAATCAATGATGCTGATGATATGCTCGATGGCAACCATGCACACATCATACGTCAAAACATTTTGTGCTAGTGCAGATACCACACACTACTCCTACCCGTGACTAACATAACGTAAATTCGATAAATAAAAGATGTTGGGACCAAACATACGCCACACCATAAACACTTCAGGTCTGCTACTCTTTTTTTTTCACAAATCATGTCTCTTGATGGGATTTGAACCTAAGACATATTAGCGAGTTTTTTGAAGACTGGTTTACTCTAACTAAACCAGACAGTCTTCAAAAAATAAAGGCATTTAGAAACTAAATTTAAAACTACCCAATTACAGAAACAAAGATGAAAAACCTATAAGATGACCTTGTTAAATGTGCCACTATAATATGTAAAACATACAAAACTCCACACACTTATTGTGCTGTACTTACTTAGATGTAGTGACTATGTTAACATTTGATGATGTGACCACTGTTGTTGGTATGGGATTTGTTTGATTACCTGTGGAACAAGAGAAAACTGTTACATCATGATCTTTTCTATAAACAAGTCTCCTATATGATTTTGCAAGAAAAGGTAAGGCCCATTTCATATAAGGAAGTTAAAAACTTAATATAAAACATTACACTTTATAAAAATTATTTCCATTTTCATGTTATCTAGAGAAATCAAAATTGCATATTCTTCAAATAAAAAAGTATTTACCATCTTTCGAACTGCCCTTTTCTGTATTCGTACTAGAATTACCTGAAATATGAAATCAATATAAACTATGCAAACTAGTTTCAAACTTAACAAGAAAAATATATTAATTTATGTTTACGCGAAAACTGCTCATTGAATAAAACTAGTTTTTAAAGATTTTATCGCATTTAATTTACATAATTTTATGTTCACATTAATACGCATATATTTGATTTTAACTTTTGCTACACATACATAGTCACGGGGAACTGATGTGTTCAACGTCCTGATGTCATAGTTAACCCCGGCTATCTTCAGCTTTTAATTATTAATTGTAAGTCTAATATATGCAGAATGAAATTAAAGTATCATTAAGTTTTACAGTGGTATGCCTGGATTGGGATTATTAATTGTAGGACCCAGCCACTTTTTCAATATAAATTAGGATTTTTTTTTTTCAATATTTTCTGCCGACTTCCAAAAAGGAGACGGTACTCGATTCGACTGTATGTTTTTTTATGTGTGTTACCTCATAACTTTTTACTGGGTGAACCGATTTCGATGATTCTTTTTTTATATGAAAGCTGATACTTCTCGTGTGGTCCCATATGAATTTGATTAAGGTCAGACCAATAGTTTTTGTGTTATTCTTAATAACTTATATTGAAGTCGGCTGTACAAAATTTTAAATTTTTAATTATAGACTGTATGCTCGTTTGTCACCCTTTATTCTATAAAAAAAAGTGCCATGTGGAATCCGCCGGATGAGGATTTGTAGAAAATACAACTACTACACAAGCAATCACTGGGATAAAGTAATGGAGACAAATAAAGAAAATTGTTATGGATGACTATGAAAGAGACATTTATTTTGAATGCATTATAAAAAATCAAACAATAATAATGTAAACAACAAAGATAACGATGACAGCTCAACTAGTTATAGCGAAAGTGATGAAATAAATTTGTTTTTAATCTAGTGTAGTCTTTAATTTATATAACTTTATCTCAAGAAATTAAAAGTAAGCAATAAACAAGAATAATCTGATAAAATTTTTATAAATCTAGATAAAGCTGGTATTAATCTAGATAAAACTGTAAATGATTACCAACTCTAAAGAATCAACACTATACTATACTATAAGTACTATTCTATGTTCTATACAGGCTAAGTGAACTTCCCTTTTTAAAAAAAGGAAATAAAATCAACTATGTAATTTGAAATTAATTGGAAACTGAAATCAATTTAAATTTGAAATTAATTGAAATTTGAAATTGTATGTTTAATTCCTATTAAATTATATGAATGAATAATTGATTTATATTTGAAATGATATGTAATTTCAAAGTTTTAGTAATATGGGTCTCCCACATTTAACATAAAATTACCGAATTACCACTAACCAGTTAATTAACATTATATACCTGAGTTCTGACAGTTCTTGTCATCTGGCTTGTCTCTCTGGCCCTGCAGTAGTTGATGGTGTAACCGCCGCTCATACACTTGGTGTAAGCCCGCGTGCATCTCTTCTTTCGTAAAAGATGCCTTTGGATCACCTTAAAATGAAAAAAAAGAATAATCATGATACACACCAAAAGAGAGGTTTTATCTTGTACTTGATGACCACTAGGAATTTAACAGCAACATTATTTAATTATTGTTAAAATTATTAAAATGCTATATTTAATGGTGTTCTATATTGAAAATCCATAGAATTTTTAACGTTAACTTGACCATGGAAATGTTAGTGTTGTATTCCCTGTTGAATTATAGTGTAATAAAACCTATCACAGGGAAGTTGTTAAAGTCTACTGAGAGAATTTGTAACAATAAAATCTTGTGGCATCTATAAGATAGTAATGTTTGTTTGTAATCGCGTTCTTCAAAATGGCTCTAACGATTTCGATGAAATTTATAAAGATCATTCCAGGGGCGAATTCAATCCAGTTGGATCACATTTTTGGGAAAATTCGTATTCTTCGTGTTTTCACGCACAAAGCAACAAACTTGACTTGCCCGCGCAATATGTCAAATAATTTCGTCACATCAGTCACCTTCTCAATAGCCTAAAGTCTAGAGTGTAGGCCTACCATGCTGGAGTACAAATGGGTACTCCATTCACACCCCACTCAAGTACAATGTAATTAATTTTCTTTCCTTTGCTTTCAATTATATTCAATTATAGACAAATAAAATGTTTTGTTTGCAAAGTTACATAGGTTGTTATGCCAGATTTCTAGAAAATTTTACAGAAAATCATTGCATTAACATTTCATTTCGATACACAATGAAACCTATTTAATACGTTTTTGGAAAAAAAAATATGTATATACATATTATATAATATGTGAAGTGGTTGCTCCGAAATGGCTCTAACAATTTGGATGAAATTTTGATATAATAATTATATAAGTATCTTTTTTTTTATAGGTTAGGGTGACAAACGAGCACACAGTCCACCTGATGGTAAGTGGTTACCGTGACCCATAGACATCTACATCTATCCTCAATAAAGACTCAAGATGCAGATGCGTTGTCACCCATGAGGACTAAGATGGAATGCCTATTTGCCAGTGAAAAGGGTCTCCGGTTCTCTACACTCACCATACGAAACATAGCAGCGTTAAGCTGCTATTTGACGCTGGTTTTCTGTGAGAGCGTGGTCCTTCCCCGGTTGAGCCGACCCATTCATGCTACAACTATACTACTAATATAGCTGCAGCATGGCTCTACTACGTAAAAATCTTATCTCTCTAGATAGGTGCAATTCCTGAGAAAATAACATTTTGTCCAACGCATAGCTAAGCTCGGTCGCCCAGGTAGTACTCAGGTATAAAAACAGTAATCATAATTACAGCCCTTCGCAAGTCCACTGCTGAACATAGGCCTCCCCCAAGGAATGCCACAAAGCACGGTCCTGAGCCACCTGCATCCATCGACTTCCTGCATGTCTCACCAGGTCGTCACTCCATCTAGTGGGCGGTCGCCCTACACTTCGTCTACCGGTACGAGGCTGCCACTCGAGAACCTTTCTTCCCCATCGGTTGTCGGTTCTTCGAGCTATATGGCCGGCCCACTGCCACTTCAGCTTACTAATCCGTTGGGCTATGTCGGTTACTCTGGTTCTACTGCGGATATCCTCATTTCTAAGTTTATCACGCAGAGACACCCCGAGCATAGCCTTCTCCATAGCTCGCTGAGCGACCTTGAGCTTCCTCATACGGCCAGCAGTGAAGGGCCACGTCTCAGATCCGTACGTCATCAATGGCAACACGCTCTGGTTGTACAATTTCGTTTTCAGATTTTGAGGTATGTCTAACGAGAAGATGTGTCGTAGTTTCCCGAACGCTGCCCAGCCTAGTTGATCCGTCGATTGACCTCTCGGTCGAAGTTGGACTTACCTAGTCGGACTATTTGTCCCAGGTAAACATACTCGTCAACAACTTCGAGCTCAGTGCTCCCAACAACTACCGGCATAGGTGTGACATGGACATTAAACATGATCTTTGTTTTGTCCATGTTCATCTTAAGACCTATCCGTTGGGAACACTATTGAGGTCATTGAGCACAGTGCTTAGGTCGTTGTACGTTGTACTCGCCATTGATGTTAATACCGTATCCTTTCCAGTCCAGTAGCTTGAAAACATCTTCCAATGCAGCAGTGAAGAGTTTCGGGGATATAACGTCACCCTGTCTTACACCTCTCTGCAATTGGATAGGTTTCGTACTCTGATTCTGTACTCGGATAGCCATCGTAGCTCTACTGTACAAACACTTCAGCACTTTGATATACCGACAGTCAACTTGGCACCGCTGAAGGGACTGCAGCACCGCCCAAATTTCGACGGAATCAAAGGCTTTCTCATAGTCCACATACGCAAGGCAAAGTGGCAGATTATACTCCTCTGTCTTCTGTACAATCTGCCACAGGATATGTATGTGGTCCATTGTACTAAAGCCTTTTCGGAAACCGGCTTGTTCAGGAGGCTGGAAGTCGTCAAGTCTGCGTGCGAGACGATTCCTAATGACTCTCGAAAACAGCACGTAGACGGGGCTCAGAAGGGAAATCGGTCTATAGTTCTTCAAGAGAGCGTTGTCGCCTTTCTTGAAGAACAAGACCACCGCACTTCTGCTCCACGCCTCCGGAGTAGTGCCACCATGGAGGACGGAATTAAAGAGCTTCTGATGGACTTCGAGTACCGGTTTTCCACCCGCTTTCAAAAGCTCCGCTGTAATTCCATCCTCGCCCGGGGACTTGCCGTTTTTAAGGTATTGGGTAGCCATTCTAATCTCGCTCAGACTGACGTCCGGGATATCTTCGGAATAGTGTCGGATAAGACTCGCTCTTGGATCGTTACTCACACTTGCGTGTGGCTCCAACGATGCCGTGTACAGCTGCCCATAGAACCTCTCAATCTCACTCAAAATCTCCGGTGTCCCGGAAACGATGCTGCCACACTCAGTCTTCAGCTTTGACAGTTGGCTCTTTCTGACAGACAGATCTCTGGCGAAGACTTTGGAGCCTTGGTTCCGCTAGATCGCTTCTTCAATACAAGCTGTATTGAAGTTGCGCAAGTCCCACTGCATTCATTTGAAGATCTGTCTTTTCAGTTGCCTGTATGCTGTCAAATCTGTTGAAGAATGTAGCTTCATCTGCCGTCTAACAGCCATGAGATTAAGAGTGATCGGAGAGTTTTTGTGTTCTTCTGCAGCGGGTCTTGCAGGACTTAGCTCCGACCGCATGGACAGTTTCCACGAGCTTGTCATTCATATCGTCCACTTCATTGCAGTCTTCTAGGCACTGAAAACAGTTTTGTAACTCGAGCTGAAAGGTTTCGGGACTTTGGAACAGAGCACGAGGGGGACGGAGCGTTGACTTCATTAGACGAGACCTCTCCAACTTAACGTTTAGGTTCAGTGTGCCTCTAACCATTCGGTGATCGCTACCAGTTTTCACCCTCGCGATCACGGAGACTTCACTGAACAGTTATAATTGTCATAATGACGACCAGACGACAACTGTTCAATCTCATTTTTTGTCGAACCGTCGGGGCTCAACCAGGTCCACTTCCTGTGGGGGCGCTTCTGGAAGAAAGAGTTCATCATAAAGAGTCCTTCTTTCTCCATGAAGTCGGCCAGCTGCTGGCCCCTTGAGTTCCGTTGCCCTATTCCAAATTTCCCTACTTTCAGCTCACCATTCTCTCTTGTGCCTAGTTTTGCATTGAAGTCTCCCATTAACACCGTATAGTGGGTTTTGGAGGAATGCATGGCTCTAGAGATATCCTCATACATTTCCTCCACCTCCTCATCGGGATGTGCCGAGGTTGGTGCGTAAACCTGTATGACCCTCAGCGAATACCGTTTGATGTTTCTGAGTATAAGGTACGCAACCCTCGTCGATACTCTCTCAATCTTTACAACGTTGTTAACGAGAGACTTGTGGACGATAAATCCGACACCTCCTTTTGACAGATGGTCGCCCTCCCGGTGATAGAGCAAGTTGCCGGATTCGAGGATTACCGTGTCCTCCCCCTCTCTTCGGACCTCGGATAATCCTATAATATGCCAGCGTAACTTGACTATCTCTTCTTCCAGCTCCACGATCTTCTCGTCAGTCCTCAGGGTGCGTGCGTTGTATGTTGCCAGGTCGAGTCGTCTTAGGTAGAACCAAACCTCCACCGGAGATTCTTAGCACCCCTTGCCCCGCCGTTACCATGGTCGCAGGAATAGCGGGGCCGCCGGGGACTGGGGGCCGTCTCTTTGTTGCTCTAATCATTGGGGGGTATTTGCCATAGTTGCCACGCTTGGCGAGCGGGTTGGCAACCGCAGTTTTTTTTTATTGTACTTTTGCTGTTATCAGGAAGATGCTGCTGCCCATCTCCTGCCTGTTTCCCTTTGTCGCCTTTTACGACACCCACAGGAAGATATGGGGTAGTGGATATTCTTAACCGCCACTACACGGCATAACACGGCAAAAACAGTAATAACATCAACAAAACATCAAGGCTGATTTATACAGTCATCCATTCATTACAGACCATCAAAACGCCGCAGCTATAAATAGATCTCCCTCATTAAAGAAATATTTGCCTTAATTGCCACGCGTGGCAGGCGGGTTTTTTAATTATTTTGAATTGTTATGAGGAAAGCTCATGCCCATCTCCTGTTTCAGTTTCCCTCTGTCGCCTCTTACGACACCCACAGAATGATATACGACAGTGACAGTTCAACACGAGACTAATATAGGCCATTAACAATAAAATATCACTAGCTATAGTAATTCAAGTATTTTCAAGTTCAGGTCAAAATGTATCCAGCGAAACACGTCGGATGTGTGCTAACCTAGCTCGTGCAAATACATGCAGTCGGGCTTGGGACAGGGCTGGTTCTTCATGAAGTTGGCGCAGTATTTGGTGGTGCCCAGGGAACCCTTCAGCACGCGTCCGTCCAGCGTCACGTTGTTCACACCTTGTATAGCGCGCAATGCATCCGCCGGAGACACGTACGTCACGTACGCTGATGCCGACGGACCCTGCAAGAAAAATTACAACAGTCAGCACGAATCCTAAGAGATTATCTTCATTTCCCTAGTAGATTTTTGGCCTTTTCAGTGGTATGAGAGTAAAAAGTTTTTTTGAAGCAAACAGATACATTCTAAAAAGAAAAAAAGGGTAAACAGTCCACCTAGCTTCAAAACGCAGATGCATTTGGTTGTCACCCCTAAGAACTAAAATGCTTAGTTACCAGTGAAAAGGTTCTCCGGTTCCCGACACAAGTCTCTTAATTGACTTAAAAATATTATTTTCTGAACGTATATTTTTAATGGAAATACAAAAATGATAATTTAACCGCGGCCACATAGGACGAATATTTGAGAAATGCTATCACGATAAAAACGATGTTTGAACATTGCAGAAGCACTTGTCTACTATTTGATTCATTGCATTCAATTATTTTAAGAACTATAGGCCTTACTATTATTATCGCTTGCGTACTTTAAGCATTAATTAGTTCTATACGTCTCTTTCGAAGGGGTGCTTAGAGTCTCCGGTAGAGGTTCGGTTGCCACCTAAGACGACTCGACGAGGCAACATAAAACGCACACACTCTGAGGACTGACGAGAAGATTCTGGAGCTCCGGCAACTTGTTCTATCTATCATTGGGAGGGCAACCTCATTACCCTAAGAGGTGTCGGATTTATCGTCCGCAAATCCCTCGTTAACAATGTTATAAAGATTGTGAGTGTGTCGAAGAGGGTTGCGTACCTTATACTCAAAGTCAACAAACAGTATTCGTTAAAGGTCATACAGGTTTATGCACCAACCTCGGCACATCCCGATGAGAATATGGAGGAAATGTATGAGGATATCTCTAAAGCCATGCATTTCTCCAAAACCCACTATACGGTGTTAATGGGAGACTTCAATGCAAAACTAGACACAAGAGAGAATGGTGAGCTGAAGGTAGGAAAATTCGTATTAGCGCAACAGAACCCAAGGAGCCAGCAGCTGGCCGACTTCATGGAGATAAACTCTTTCTTCCAGAAACGGCCCCACAGGAAGTGGACCTGGTCGAGCCCTGACGGTCCGACAAAAAATGAGAGTAACTTCATTATGACGACTAGACGGCAACTGTACAGTGATGTCTCAGTGATCGCGAGGGTGAAAACTGGTAGCGATCACCGAATGGTTAGAGACACACTAAACCTAAAAGTTAAGTTGGAGAGGTCTCGTCTAATGAAGTCAACGCACTGTCCCCCTCATGCTCTAATCCAAAGTCCCGAAACCTTTCAGCTCGAGTTACTAAACCGTTTTCAGTGGCTAGAAAACTGCAATGAAGTGGACGGATAGGTCTTAAGATGAACATATATAAATATAACCTATGCCGGTAGTTGTTGGGAGCACTAAGCTCGAAGTTGTTGACGAGTATGTTTACCTGGGACAAATAGTCCGACTAGGTTAAGTCCAACTTCGACCGAGAGGTCAATCGACGGATTCAACTCGGCTAAGCATCGTTCGGGAAATTACGCCACATCTTCTCGTCAGGTACCTATACCTCAAAACCTGGAAACGAGATTGTACAACCAGTGCGTGTTGCCAGTGATGACTTATGGATCTGAGACGTGGTCCTTCACTGCTGGCCGTATGAGGACGCTCAATGTCACTCAGCGAGCTATGGAGAGGGCTCTGCTCGGGGTTTCTCTGCGTGATAAACTTAGAAATAAGGTTATCCGCAGTAGAACCAGAGTAACCGACATAGTCCAACGGATTAGTAAGCTGAAGTGGCATTGCCCGTCCATAAAACTCGAAGAACAGACAACCAATGGGGAAAAAGTTTCTCGAGTGGTAGCCTCGTACCGGTAGGCTAAGTGTAGGGCGACCCCCCACTAGATGGAATGACGACCTGGTAAGACATGCAGGAAGTCGATGGATTTTTTTATAGAATAAGGGTGACAAATGAGCACACAGTCCACCTGATGGTAAGTGGTTGCTGCGGCCTATAGACATCTACATCTATCCTCTATTACAAACCAAAATGCTGATGTGTTGTCACCCATGAGGACTAAGATGGAATACCTCATTTCTAGTAAATGTCTCTCCGGTTCGCTACACTCACCATACTAAACACAGCCGCGTTAAGCGGCTATTTTACGCTGGTTTTCCGTGAGATGTGGATGCAGGTGGCTCAGGACACTGTGCTTTGTAGCATTCCTTGGGGAGGCCTATGTTCAGCAGTGGACTTGTGAAGGGCTGTAATGATGATGGTACGTCTCTTTCTATCGTCATTTAATGGAAAGAGATAGATCAAATTAAAGCATTTCTTATAAATTGACATCAATCTTATGGATAAGGCCGTATATGTGCAACATACTTCTATATTGCTAGAAGTATGTTGTGTAGGACTAAGAAAAAGCTGAAGGATATATACTTTTATTTGCATCCAAATTATGCATACTTTGTTAGGCACCGATAAAAAAAAAACAATTTAAAGAATATGTCATGTTTAAGCATATCCTCAATAAGGAAATTTTGAACACAAGATTTTTAAGCACACCTTTATACTCTTTACCAACGAAATTTATAATAAAGACAATAGTTGAGAAATAAAAAATATTACTGTGGATTAATTACTGGAATGAGATGTTACCTATATTGTATGAAAAGATTATTTAAATACTCACCTGTGACCCTGCATATGCGGTACTTTGGTTTATGACTACTTTGTGAATTTTCCCATATTTGCCAAAGTACTCTTGCCGCTTTAGTATCTGCAAATTAAAAAATCAATTAAATTTATTATGACAAAACGCAACAATATTGCAGTATAACCTTAAGATCTTAGCGTCTCAAATTAGTTACTAAATAACGATTTATTTACAACTCAGTTATTAGAGAGCTTTTCTATTAGGTTGTATGTAAAAGTATATAAGGCAGCGGCAAAGGCCGAGCCAAAGGCGATGCAGAGTGTGACGACTAAACAAATCCTTCCTAAAATGGTAGAAAACCATATCTAGCAGTGGACTTTTACATGGTATAAAATAATTAAGGTAACCCTTTTTTATCGTGAGTTACAATGTCCTCTAAACCGAATTTCGGTTACGCCGGCCAGTGCCAGTGTGTATGCGCAAACACAGGTGTAATCTCTATTCCCTCACTCTCATAGTTCGATGGGGCGCTAATCCGACACGACCGGAGCGAGATCAAGCGCAGGTCCTACGTCTTTGCGTACTTTCCGGTGGAACACCGACAACTTGCTGACTCTGGGCTGCTACTGAGGATTTCTTAACAAAAAAACCCACAAATTGTATTTGGCCCAACCTAGGATTTGAACACGGGACTCATGACCAGCAATCGCGTTAACAACCGCTGGAACAACGAGGCAGTCATCGTAAGTAGGAACAGTGTCAATGCAAATTATAAAAGACCAAGAGCTCATTCCGGGTATGGTCGCATTCCGGAACGCAGAACTATAGGTAACTGTGATCATCATAGACTTTTAGTCGATAGAAATCCAGCATAATTTTATTGTTCTACACAGTAGGATTCTTTGAGTTATGTGTTAAGTACACATACCTCGGGGTCGGCAAGCCGAACAGGCAGGCCGACGACGAACACGAGGTTGTTCTGCACGACGCGAACATTCGCGAGGGCCCGCCTCGACTCCAACGTCTTGTTCCGCCTTTTCTGCTCTCGTGCTTTTTTCTCCGTTTTTATTGCAGCTACCTAATGGATAAAAATACGTAATGCATTTCTATTTTAAATGCTTTATTTATTATAACATGTGGCAGTTAGTGTGATGCATATAAGTACACACACACGCACATGTTATTTATTACAGATATGTTACTATAATTTACCATACATCTGTAATAAACAACATATATATATGTTGTTTATCAGTCAAAAACATAACACAACATGCCTTCTCTATAATATTAACATTTTGCAGAAGAATTTAAACAGCGATATATACAAAAGTTAATGCCTTATAAACTCTATTACAAATACCTGCTCTTGACTGAGTGGAGTGAAGTCTGCAGGGTTCTCCGGATATGCTTTCCGACACGCCGGACATAAACCGTTCTCGCCTTCCCGTATACGGTTCCAGCAAAACCGGCATATCTATAGTTCACAGGATAGATGTCATATTACATTATATCGAAATTGACTTATGCTTCTTCGGTTTACATTGTACTTTAATTTTCCAATATTATTATGCAATAATAACTTAAAGAGATTCGAGTTTTTTTTTTAATTTAGGTCATAATCACAACAAAACATTAAATATAATCTTTACCACACTATTATTATGAAAAATCAAGCAAAATACTTTTAATAGTAATACACCTTATTAAATATACCTATTTTAACTAGAATAACTTACTTGATATCCACATGTGCAAGGGTAGAAGTGGAGATCGTCCACCTCCAGTGGTTCCATACACAGAGGACATTCCACCTGCAAATAAAAAAACATGCGTGAGTATCGTGGAATACTAGGTTGTAACGAAGTTCCTTTCATAGTATATTGTTATTGATAAACGTATTATATTATTGATTAAAAAATACAAATAAATGAATTACTTGTGTCTATTAAAATGAAGCGTAATTTCAAATAAAATTATATTTCTTTAATGGCAAGATAAGAAAAATTGCGAGGGCGATGGATATTATTCCATCTCACTTCCTTATAGCCGTTAAGGCCATCTACACTATGTCAGAAGGGGTCGTGACGGAAAAATCTTCATCCACCAAATTCGTACCGTCGGATAAGGAACTTCGTTCCAAAAACTTATTAATAAACAACACCAATCACTTTTAACTTATAATCTACCACAAACATGAGATATTAAATAGAGCAGGAGGGAATGGAAACGTTTTGTAAGTAACAGTTACAGATGAATAGATTATCTGTAATGTTAAAATTAATAATAATACACACCACAAATACAAGCAAGGTACAGTAACAAGTGGATAGAAGCAGAAATGGTGGACAGACCACTATAAAAATCCTAGAAAGACAAATAAAAGTGAAGAAGGAGAGGTTTTGATAGACCCTAAGACTCTTAAAGGGTGTGTGCACAGCATTATTTATATTTTCAGTGGTTAAAAGATATTTCAAATGTTATTTACCTGCTCTTCTCCACTCTGATTCAGCACTGACATCCTAGCCCCAACAGCCAATGATTTACTCCTTCACAGCAAATACAAATGTCAGCTTACACTAGACAAGTATCTACTGCCACCTTTAAATAAAAAAAATTATAAATTATTTTTAAAGTATAATAAAAAAGTTTTTACAATATAACGTTTTATGGTATTTTTTACTTAGCAGCCTTTTTGCAGCCTATCACCCCATTCGGCAGTCAGATTAACCAATACCAGACATCTGGCACCTTTGATATAACTTAAAATTTACTGGTCTGTGCATCTTCATGTGCCATGATATACAAGATTGTTATATTGCAATCTATCAGGGGATTTTGATTTTTATGGTATCCACCCACGAGACAAAAAACACTACTTAAAACTTAAGTGGAGATTTCTATAAAAACTTAATTCTAGTGAGTCAAAAATGGTCTCCAATTCCATTTCTACACTCACCATACGAAAAACATGAATAAATTACGAAACACTGACGTTTTTACGTGGTAGATCCATACTGCAGCTATATTACTGGTATAGTTGTAGCACCAATGGGTCGGCTCAACCAGAGAAAAACCATGCTCTCACAGAATACCAACGTAAAGTAGCAGGTTAATACTGCTGTGTTTAGTATGGTGAGTGTAGCGAGCCGGAGACCCGCTTTACTGGAAATGAGGCATTCCATCTTAGTCCTCACAGATGACAAAGCATCTGCATTTTGATTTTTTTTAAAAACGTTACCCCCACACTAGTATTTTCTTCTGTATCATGGAGGCAGTTTACAAACATAGATTGCACAAGGACAAACGTCCAGACCCGGAACAATTATTTGTAGGTCATACAAATAACTTATTCCATGCGGGATTTGAACCCGTGGCCCCCAGCGTAACAACCCATTGCTAAGCCACTGCGCCATGGAGCCGTCATCATTTGTCATCGAGGGTAGATGTAGATGTCTATGGGCCACAGCAATCACTTACCATCAGGTGGAATGTGTGCTTGTTTGTCACCCTTATCCTATATAAAAAATATGAAGTTCGCCAACACGCAGTGGGGCAGTGCTGCTGACAATTCCTTGTCCTAAAACCTTCTCAGAAATGAGAGGAGGCTTGTGCCCAGCAGCAGGACGTATATAGGCCGTAACTTTAAACTTAGGTGAAAACTTTCACTAGGTTAAACTTATCATCTTTGATGTCATATTATGTCAAAGTGAAAACTATATAAAATCAAATCTAAACTTCGACCTTAACAATAATGGCATAATTTCGATAATTTGAAAAATTATTGCATTTTTATTTAAAAAATAATGTTTCATTGTAAAATTGGTGAATAAAATATAAATACAAGAAGCAGCCTACTTAATAAAAATGTAGAACTGGTGATATCGCATCATTTATGTATTATAAGACTTCATACTTATAAATAAAAATAAATAACACAAGCACATCAAACTGAGATTTAAAAAATTGTATGTTTTATCTAAACATTTTCTAAACTGAATATACTTTTACCTAACCAAGTCTAATGTTACAACTGCATATTATATCTGTCTAAACAGTAATAAAAACCATTGGCAAATTTAGAATTATGGTTCGTATATTGTTGAATTTTACTATTTGGAACCAACTCAAGCCCTTATATTTACTTTAAAAAAAAAATATATATATATATATATATATATATATACATATATATATATATATATATATATAAATTTCATACTAATATCTTGAAAATTCTATTGTCCATTTTTTTTATAGAACGAAGGTGACAAACGAACACACTATCCACCTGATGGTAAGTGGATGCTGTGACCTATTTATTCTCGAATAATCAAAATGTAGATTCATCGCCGCTCATGATGCATGAATACCATTGCCTATAGGTATTGGTTGCCAGTTCTCTACATTCACCATATGAAACACAGCCGCCGCATTATTCTGGTATTTTACATTGGTATTTTGTGAGAGCATAGTCCATCTCTGCTCGAGATAAACCATTCATAGTGCAGCATGGCTTTACATCTCTGTATATTGAATATACCCTCTTATATTAAATTTAAACATATTACTAAAAGCAAATTTGAAATGTAAAATATTAGCTTACTGGCTATTTGACATGATCAAAACATTATAATGTGCATTATGTATGCAATTACTATTACTATTAGAAAGGCATCCTTAGTTTAGTAGTCAACACATATTGTTCCTTATTAGGAAGAAAAATCACAGTTATTTAACAAATTTGCTTTGTTTTTAATGAAATAATCGTATTTTACATATGTACATGTATTCAACGAATTTAAAATAAACAAGTATGTATGTATGTATACAAACTGATGTAAAATATGAAAATAAATATATAAAACTAGTATGAGACTAAAAACATGTGCTGATAATGTTATTCCATATTAGTATAAACAATAGTAAATAAGAATTTTTGAAACTGTCAATGTCAAATCAAAACAATTTTAATGATAAATATTAAATGTGTACAGAATTAATAACATCTGATATGATATTAAAGGGTTTTGTAATAAATTATGTCCTGTAAAAACATAAAATAAGATAATTTTTTTACCATTACACACTCCAGAATAATTCAATGATTGTATTAACTACCTAAAGCACTTAACTTAACACAGCTCATAATCTAAGAGCTTAACTTAATTTAGTGTATTATTACATGTATACTACAAATAGCAATCTTCCCTGGTTTCGTATAGGTGATTTCTGTATTTCAACAACAGACCTACCTACCGGATCCAATTGTGAATCTGGACCATCCAGGGCGGGTCCCTCAAAACTCAAACAAAAAATTACATCAAAATCGGTCCAACCACAAAGAAGTTCAGGGGCAAAAATGTATACAGAAGACAATTTGTATTACTGAAGTGGCTAATGTGTGATGTTGAAAAAAATAATAAGGTATATAACATATACTTACAATATGAAACTACTAATAAATAATATTATTTATATATTTACATAAAGCACACATTTCAGCATGTTGTGAAACTGTTATTGACTAAGTGTATTATTATATATTTTTAAGTAAGTTTGTTAAAAATATGCTATTGAGTCTCCTAATAAATAAATAAAAAATATTATTACAACATACCAACTACCCACTCATACCTATGCGGTAGTCACTTACCATCAGGTGAGCCTCATGCTCGGTTGCCACTCCTATTAAAAAAAAAGAGTACCTCAATAGTTAGCATGTGTGGTTCTATATCACATTTCTACTCCAAATATTGACTTCTCTTACATCAAGTACATAAGCCAAATCACAAAGAAGGCTCCAATAACCAAATATACAGATTTATAGGAATATAAATCTTACAGGTTTGATGAATAGTAGCAGTTATACATGTTTTAAAATCAGTATTAACAAGAATAATTAGTATACTATATTCACTTTATATTAAGGACTACTTCCTTCCTCTCAAAGTTATATGAACGATTAGTATTTTGCAAAATAGTATTTAATAGGTTTTTGTATCTAATTTATTTTTAACAACTACATTCAGGGAACTGATAACAACAAAACGTTGTTACAGACGCTATTATTTGTCACAATGAATATCTACACTTAAATTTGTTAACATTTTTACAGCTCTCCCCACTTTTGATGCATAATGATCAATTAGTACTAATGCATACATAATTAAAATAATATTTTGACCTAGTTTGTGATGGAAAGTGAAATAATAATAATCATAGAACCTAAGACTTATTTTCTCAATGAATGAATCATAACAACAATATACATACTTTTGTCAATTTAAAACTTTTTAACTACAATGAAAACCAATACAACATAATAAAAATATATATATATAAATTGATAAAAACAAAATTTTCTTATCTGTTAAAAGCCAGGTTTGAATTTATGTAATAGTAAACAGTGTTTTGTAGGTGTTAACAATAACTTATTGATAAATGGATCTCAACAATGACTCAACCCAGCTTTGACAAGTTCACAATTTGACATTATAATGTCGAAAAAACAATCCGAAATCCAAGATCTCGGGGAATCTAAAACAATCCTTTGAACAAAAATCAGTTATTTTAGAGCTAAAATATGGGCGGTTATGACCCAAACTATCACTTATGTGAAATCTAATGTCCCTAATCTATCAAAATAGTACGTCCGCCAGCTGCCATCCAAGAGAATATGTGGCAAAAGTCAAACTTTCATTTCGTACAAGGATACACTAAAAATAATTATAAACACTCGAAGCACAACCTTCTGTGTGCTTCGAGTGATTATAGCTAAGGATTTTAAGATTTGTCACCTGATACCATTTTAGGACAAAATAAATCGATGTTTACCTTACGTCTTCTCTCAATGCAAATCTTTTTCTATTGCAGAATAGAGACTGCTAACCCTTCTGCTAGTCGAAGATCAATCCTTTCCAATATACCTACAATACGGTTTACGATTTAATTTAAAGCGAAATGCAAAGCTGAAATAAATACAACTGTCCCGAAGATATTTTATCCGAGTTACTATACATTTGTTTTATGAAATGGCCTAATCTTTTACAAGATTCCGTTCTGAGCTTCCATAGACAAGTCCTCTTACTTTTTAATTTCGAAAAATGAATGAGTAATTTTCCACTTTCGTCAAGGATAAGATCTTACCTTCAGTAAAGAGAGAAAAATTTCACATTTTATTTTAATATTTCCTAAATTTATTTTCAGTTCTAAATAACATTCTAAATAATTATAATATCTTTGTTATACGTTGCAAATGTGGAATTGTTTTTGTTCATTCTTTTTTGTTATACGTGTCCACAGAACATTAATCTTTGATCGTATTCAAACTTAGAGTATTAGTAAGCAATAGAGCGCGCGTAAGCAAGACAGAACTGTAAACACGCGTCAGAACCTACAATATACTGGCGTATAGACCAACATAGTGTGCAAGGGAGAAGAAAATTCATTATGGTAAAAATGCAAGATAGAAAAGGATACCAAATCTCATCACTCTGTAACCGATTTTGAATTAACAGG